GAAAGGTTTGATAATTCTGAGGGTTTGGTCCCTAAACTCTATTTCAATTATTTAATTTAATTTTTTGTTTTTATTATTTTCCTTGAAGTTACTAACGTGTGTATTTTGTTATTAGAAAGAGATACGAGAAATCCAAGTAACTATTTTAATTGCTTTATTGATATTATGATGTAGATTCATGCTTAGATTGATATTAAGATATAGAAATCATGCTTAGGTTGTTATTTTGATTCCTAGTATCATGTTAGGATGTTTTATTTCTTCCTAGTATCATGTTTAGGGTAACAACTAAAAATTCCTAATATCAAGTATGCTTATTATGATGCTTCCCATTTTTTTTCCTAATAGCATGTTAGAATCATGTTATGGCTAATTGATCTTTAATGTTTAGTGACATGCTAGGGTTTGTTATTAATCTTGTTAGTATCATGTCTAGGATCTTGCGATTAATATTATGCTTTAACATGATTGTGATAATTATAATTATGATTATTGTTGTGTCGAATTATATAATTTAACGTAATTTGTTAATTAGCGAATTGTTTCACGTAATTTATTAATTTACGAATTATTTCATGTTATCTGTTAATTGATGGATGACTTATATATAACTTGTTATTATTATGTTGCTTGATATTTATTTATTGTTATTCCTTGATCACGTCTTTTATGCATGTTTAAAGGAAATTGGTACTTGTAATCACGCTTAATAAGATAATTAATAATATTGTTTAGGTTAATATGATTATAATTCAAGTGATCGCCAATAATAGTTTTATTTGTGCATTAATATTCAACCAACATAGATTAAACGAGTTTAGGGTAAATCTATTGATTGCATGTTAGTCAGAAAGCGCACATGTGTACGAGAAGAATAAAGTAGAGGCCTATTATTAGGGCAGGTTCTTTCTCTTTTAGATTGGATTTGTACCTTCATCCCCGAACTTCCAGTCTTGGTTCCAGAACTATTGGATTTAACGATCTCTAGGATCGTTAAGGGGTGTAACCTTCACCTTGTGAACGGTTTACAAGTTCCTAAAACCCCTTCTTGGCAACTCTTTTGCTCTATCTTCCATCCCTTTGGACGCCACCATACTTAAGTGTATTATCACTGTAGGGTTTAAGTTTGGGGTAATGCTTGAAATATTCCTTACATATACACAATTTCCAGCAACTTAAGTTAACTTTAGACTACTTAAAATAATCTGAAAATTATTTGAAAACCCCTAATTAAACTCCTTTTTAATGGGTAATCACACCCTTTTATTAAAATCACAATTATACTACTTTAAATAAAATTCCAGCATTTTAAACTAATCAAAAACCCTGTAAAACTTCATCAAAATACATCTTTATACTTAAATTATCCATAGAAACATTAAATTATCTCTTACCCTTTAAACTCAAGGATAAAATTCAAAGCATAAAAAAAAAACTTCGTTAAAAATCATAAACTACCTAAAAATCATATTTAGAGGCTGAATTTGGCCACGAGAGGGTGGTGCTCAGTACCAATAGTAGTGAGTCTTTCTTAAAACGTTGTTCCACATGGAAAACACTACCTTTTTTTTATCAAAGTCGGATGAGTTCAAAACCTGATCGGGATTAAAACGGGATTAATATTAACGAACGGAAATCTAAAAATTAAAACACGAATTTACGTGTTCAAAATAATCTGGTTTTAAGTTAAACTAATCAGTAGTTATAATTACCAAAATTTCAAAGCATCATTACTATAAAACCCTAAATCAATTGTTCATAAAAATCCTAAAATCATAATTTTCAATAATTAAAAACCCCAAATCTGAAAGATTATGACATTTATATAATCTGAAATTATAAAGTTTAATCATAAAAATACAATTTGATACTAATTAAATTAATTTCAAACAATAAAATCAAAACCCATAAATTAATAATTATAATTACACAAATTAATAAAACAAAGGAGAAATAAAATAAGACTAAACTTTTTGTGTGGGAAATTTTTGGGGATTCATGGGGTATTTATAGAGTAGAGAGTGTAGGGTTAAATTTGGGCTTATGAAAATGTGGGCTTAAGTTATGGGATAGGGCTTACGTTATGGGTTTTGGAATGGGTTATTCCAATAAGAGTGTGTAGGAATAATTTATATTGCCCAATAATTGATAAACGTTTGGCCTAAAATATATTTTACTTTTATAACCTTATATTTAAAATACTTTAACCCTTTAAAATATTTAATTAAAATACTTGAGCCCTTAACAATACATTTTATTAATACTTAAATACTTTATAAAAATACATTAAAAAAATACGGGGTATTACCGTCGGTGACTCCACTAATACGAACTCCAATCACTCAGTTTCTAAAGGCTATGGTGATGTTTCGCAATAACACGACGGCAATGTCTGCCGTTTTCGGATAATAGACCCTGGTGGTCGATAGAAGAGGGAGGGGTAAAACAAAGAGAGATTCCAGATATCCGTCGATGACTCCATGAGTACGTACTCCATGTTCTCCTTTTATAAAGGATATGGTGATGTTCAGCATGGCCATTTCTGGGAAGCAGTCGGTAGGTTAATATAAGATTCCAGTGACCATGAAGACAGTTTCAGAGGAGAGAGAAATGGTGTTAAGCAAACCCTAAGAGAGAGAATAATTTGTATTACTACCTTAATTTACTTAACTAGTATGTAACAATTTTTAATCAATCTATTTTTTTTCAGGAAATAATATAATCTTATTTTTTTAAATTAGTATGTAACAAATTTTCTAAAATGATTTAAATGATTTTAGGAAAAAAAAAAGGGGTGGACCTACATTTTTTTAATGCATGACTCATATGAAGCCATGTCATATGGCTTAAGATGATCAAAAACTATTTGATTACCTTAGAATTTTCACATCTAGAATTATGACAGATGAGTTTTAGCAACTTCGTCTCTTTCATGTGGAAGCCTTAACATGGATTGATCAGTTGACCGCTTTTCCAATTTTAGGGTTTATCAGATCTCAAGAAAATAAGCAAACCATTACATACTGGTCTAGTTTAGGCACACTAGTTGCACCATTTAATCGTTACTTACACAAGTCTTATTTTTTTAAAGTTATGTCCCTGTAGTCATTGAGTTTTTAAGGTGTATTCATGTTTTTTTAAAAAAATTTAAGATGTTCCCTCCAACTTAAAGTTTTTATTCAGCACCCTCTAATGTTAAACAAACATTAGTAGTTGTGTTAAATGTTATTTACCATACTTAGGATAAAATTTTCACGCCCAAATTGAGTTAGAGTTATATAAAGGGATAAACATTAAACATTTTCTCATCTAATTTTCTTCACTCTTCTAAAAGCAACCACTGATATATGTCAAACTTTTTATGTATTTCTTCTACTTTTTTCTCATCTGCTTCTTATTACTTTTTTTTTGTTTTTGCAATTACTAACATCGAGTTAACGCCAGAAGGCATAGTTCATCAAACACCTTAAGTTGGAGGAACAACTTGTAATTTTGAAAAAACATGGACACACTTTAGAAATTCAATAACATTAAGGGCATAGCTTAGAAAAACTCTTCTTTGGAAAAATTTTAAATTACCGCCAAAAAATGTATCCATTTTCGAACTAACTAGCTGTTTAATTTTTAATTTTAAATTACCACCCCTTAAATTAAATAAATGCTCTGATTACCACCCATTTCAAAAAACCAGTGGATTTTCCGTCTGTGGATACCACCTAACGCTCAATTTGACCCTTTTGACTAATTTTTTCCCCGATTTTTCTCTTTAAAAACGCTTTCCTAACTTCAATTCACATTTCCATCACCAAATTCTACCAAACTTCACTATAATTTGGGTAAATAGGTAGATTTGGGAGTTATGGTTCATGGAACCTTGGGATTTCAGAGCGCTATAAACATTCTTCCTCTTAGATTAAATTGGATGAAAATTGGAGCGATTGCATATTAATTAGGGAGCGCTCGCTTTGAATTCAAATTGAATTGGAGCTGAAATTGAAAGTTACGTCGACTGCGATTATTCACTCTTGCTGGTGCTTATTACTGTTGCAATTAGCTCCTTTTTGTGGGCTGCTATTACGTTTGGATAAGGGGATGTGAGTCGTTGCGCAGTTGTTTGCAGCTGCAGATGAAGTGGGGTCGGAAGTGGGAATTAACTGGGTTGAGAGGTTCGATGTTGTAGAGTTGTTGGTGTGTTAGGTTGTTGTAATGGGTTTAGAGGTTCGATGCTGCAAAAGAAGAAGGTTTTTGGTAGTGATGGGAGGAAAGAGAAAATGAATGAAAAGGGTGACACTGTAATGGTGGTGATATATTGGTTTTTTTTTTCTGAAATTGTAAAATTTGGGGGTTTAGAAATGAAATTAAATTGGTTGTGTTGAATTCAATGAAGGAAATGATGATAGGTTGAGTGAAATATATCAGTAAGAGGATTAAATCGAGAGGAAAAAAAATAGGAGGGAAGTTAGTTAGGTTGGGCCCACGGACGAAAACTCCACCGTATTTTTAAAATGGTTGGTAATCTATGCATTTTTTTAATTGAAGGGGTGATAACTTAAAATAAAAAATTAAACGGGTGGTTAGTTCAAAATTTTACAATTTTGGATGGTAATTTTAATTTTTTTTTTTTTTTTTTTTTTTTTTTTAAAAAAAAATTTCTGTTAAAGGACTCGGTCTATATATATTTTCAATTGGTTTAGCAACAGTCTAGTTTATAAAATTTGTACTAATTTGTACCGCTTCCAATTTTCATCAATTTAGTCAATAATCTCAGTCTTTATAAGTTCACCTTTTTCTTATCAATCTACCCCATTTTACCTGCAATCGAAATGTACCGACATTTAAAAGGGAAATTTAAGATCATAGAACAACTTAGATTTTCCATGTCAATAATTTGACTTTCACCTTTTCTTAAGCCTTGGTCAAACAACCCTAACAATACCATTATGTGTACTTTTTCTTTCAAAAGAAATTCTTCATAAAAAAATGGAAAAATATTGATTCCGTGATGAACAAAATTATTTAAATTAAGGATAATTATAGTTTGAATTAGCAACAAGCTAAATTATCGTTTACTGATTGCTAATCAAGGAGATTAATATTCTTAATTTTCAACATATAGAAATTCCCCCGATTGCAATAGAGGATCTATGCTTTGGAGCTACAAAAATGCAGTATTACAGTATCATTGTCAAACCTGTCTATTTCGTAGTTAGTAGACTCGATAAAAAGCAAAAGGTCACAAATTTTATAAATAATTATACATACAATCAACTCATGAATTTTCTCAATTTTCGACATGATCCCAGTCAATAGACTTGTCTTCAAAATTGTAATGAGGGTGATGAAGCCTACTTCGACCCAATCTACTCATCACTGCAAGACCTGCAAAGAAGAAAAAATTGCTAAATTCAGTTTATAAAGAATTCGATAGTAGAAATAGAATTATATTCACATAGCATAAAATTTATTAATTATTTTTTATTTAGTAAGTTTGACACTCTTACTGATAAATAAGTGTGTCAATAACAGTACAGACATAAAAACCACCGAGCAAATATATTTCCTCCATCCAAACTTGTTATTCGTAATACATTATCTTATTTAGTCATGCATAGCCACACTAACAAGTTCACATACAACTGAGATGTAGTGATGTCATGGACTGGTTCACGCACCGAGGTCAAGCTGGTCAAACACCTCTTTTGGTGTACTCAAGGAGTAGTAAGAAAGGGAAAGGGGAAGAAGAAGTCAACAACATTCAAGGTCAAGTCAGCAGCAAAGGAGCATAGGGAAGCATTACTTTACTAGTTGACAAAGTTAATTAAGAGGAATGAAGGGAAAGCAGGCAATTAGCTTTAGCTCTGTTATTTTAATGTGTTTCCATATTAGTGTAATATTTTCACATGTTCTTCCTAAGGTCAATTGAGATCACTAGTGATTCTTAGTATAAGAATTGTATTAGGAGTAGAGAGGAGGCATCCAGAAAAATTGCTTAGGAACCTTTGAGATTAGCAGCCTCAAGTTGCTAGAGAGATTGGCAACCTCAAGTGGCCATTGTATCCCCTGCTGTGTTAATTAATCAAATCCCCAAATTCCCTTCTATTATTGCCTTGCAAGTTACAGTAGATTATTAGTCTATTACATGTTATTATTATGAATCTTGATGTGTGAGACCAAGATATACTTTGTAAGTTCATATACTAATTGATCTTAACGCTTTTTGAACGTAAGAGTCTCTAAATAATTGAAAGAAATAAAAATACTTAGTTTTATTCATGCATTGCATGGGATTTGAGCTAGTTAAGAGAAGGAAGAAAAATTACACGTGTTGAATATGAAAACTACACAATGTAAATCAGTTCAATGAACTTGCTCTATTAATATTATGGTTAACAGAAGACAGTGCAAACGGGCAACTAATCCCATCTTTGGCTATGACCCTCAAAAAAAAAAAAAAAAAAAAAAAAAAAAAAAAAAAAAAAAAAAGTAATCAAATTAAATGACATGATCAGAGCAAGGTAGACATATCTCTCAAGTTCCTAAAATCTCGACATCTATGTTAACCTAGTTACCTTGTCAAGGTCGGTATAGATTGATAAAGGGAGGTCAAAAGAGGATCGCATTATATTGGGCCAATGCGAATCACAGGTCAATAGCAAGTCAATAATGGGTAGGCCAATAATTGAGCAAGAAATAATAATGGAGAGAGATAAAGTTAAGTATATGTGAAAACAAGACTATACATAAATTTTTTTGTAAAGAATTTACATTTTTCTATTTAATTTTTCAATTTAATTGGACTAACATTTTGGCCCAATCCATTAAAAGTCAAGTTCGATTAAAACCCTTAACCTTGATCAAAATCATATATTCATTGGAATAGCCAGAGTTACATCTGCATAAACGATTTCATAGATAATGTTATAAGGCAAAATTCTTCAACTCATTTAGTATTAATTACATTCCCTCAGTACCATAACTCCGCTAATTTAATTAGTGTTTACCCAATATACAACTGCTTTGAGTTTGTGGTTTTACAAAGCATGAAAATAGTTTCATATTTTTCCACCAAATAGGGGAATTTGTATTCACCCACAATAGCTAACTCAGTTAGCTGTGAGTCACCAGTCTGTTTATTACACCTGAATTAGTGGTTTATTATTTAGCATTTATCATAAACATGTTAAAAAATATATATATATAAAGTTAAGTACATTAAAAATAAAAAAATAAAAATAAAAAAAAAAGGTCAGTTAACCAAGAGTTTCATAAAAAAAAAAGACAATACGTAGAGAGTTTTTCTGTAAAACAAGTGAATTTAAGGAATTTAGTAATGTTTTAGGCTTTTAGCACATTCTTGTGAAGTCATTAATTCTACGTAGAAATTAACTATATTATATTGGAAAATGAAATACAAAAAAAATTACCTTCAACAACTTTATATAGAGACGACCACCATCTATCTCTAGGAACTTGGTATTGCTCGAGAGTCTCCTCAATAGCTCTGTCATGCTTTCCTTCCAAGACACCCTGTAGCGTAATGACTGCATCCTTTGTCCTCCTCAGAATGTTATCCTCATCTTCAATCTCCAACTGTTGAAGGTCATTCTGCGATGATGTTAAGCTAACACCAAGGGCAAACTGAGCTGCTGCTGCCCATCTTGAAGATGCCAACCACCTCCTTTGCCCATCTAGCCCATAATCATCTCTAGTTGTTGACCTATTTTCAACTACATCTTTGCGTACAAGGCTGCGCAAATATTGAGCATTTGCAGCTCCAGTACTTTGAACCATCTTGGAGAAGGCACTTTCTTCACTTGAGAGAAGCTTCTCTGGGGTATCATATTCAAGAACCTGAAAAAAGATTATGATATAAACCAACTAGTGAGAAGAGAACAAAATTTAAAAACTGAAATAAACAGGGTTTCATATTAGGATATCAGAGAGAAAATATAAGTTAATTGCTTAAGGCGAAAAAAGAGAGAGAGAGAGATTTGTATTTAACATCATAAAAAGAATTTACAATTTCCATAGCATTATGACTGCATCGTTAATTCGTTACCAATTCTTCACACTTTACTCTGCTCGCCTAAGAAATTCTAAGTAGTTTGTCCATAGTATCCTTTCCCACTGCAATGAATATACACTAGCCTAAGGAGGGGTCTAGGGGTATTCATTACAAAAAATTTAGTAATTGAACCCAAATAAGAATAGGCACTAAAGTATTTTTGACATTATATCCTCATTCTTCATCATTACATGGTATGAAGACAACAAATAATATTCTTCGCAAAACAGAGCACACTCAATAACCAAACAACATGACTGCAGATTTCATAGTTACCTACAACTGCCGAACATATGTTTTGTTTTTGTCAGAGAGTTTGATTTTTAATACTCCCTCTACTTTAGATTAATTAGTAGGGTACTCATAAAGTTTACGAGAAATTATAGGGTGGGGACCAAAATGTGGAAATTTTACATTATAAAATATAGCTAATAGGGTATATTTAATTGTAAGTGAAAAAGAGAGAAAAAATAGTGCAAGTGGAGTCAAAATGAGAAGAACATTTAGGTTAGGAGTGAACCCTTACCAAGTATTGAAGTGTGTTTCGAGTAATAAGAAACTGATGAAAAAGGCAAGTGTTGCTTTCAATCAGAAACAGAGATAATAACAACTAAGACGAATTCATAAAAAAGGAAAGAAAATATGAAAATTGAAGTGCTCTAAGCTTGTTCAACAGCTATAAGGGCCCATCACAGAATATCCCACAAGGACATCTCCTAATAAATAAATTGAAAGCAACTCTATGACACAAATAGACATGGTTAGAGGCTCAATTATTGGCGAATAAATTGCACACCTAAAAATCTTTGGCCCAGTTGCATTAGAAATCTTCAATTCTCCAGAGAGTAGGAATGAAAATCTGAACAAATAATACTCTGTACATAGCAAATACTTGTGTATGTTGGAATGGTGTGGGTTTGCCTTGCAACCATTTTTAAGTTAAAGCAGATTGTGGTTAGTGGCTTAGTGCTCCTCTTTGCCAGTTACTGGAAATCTAGATGTTTATATCTTCTTAATTGAAGGAAGTTTTTTTTTCCTTCTCTGATCTCTTATTTTTTAAAACGGAAAATTTGTCTAAGACAACCTTTTAATAGACACTTTTTGTTTAACACAACCTTTTAAATGTTTTTTGACAAAGTCAGACCTTATTAGAAATTTTTTTTGTTAAGGACAACCAAGCTCATGTTCAGGCATTGACTCATCGTTTTCCGGCGTTGACTCCCACATGACACGCACATGACCTTTATTTCTCCTAATTGCACCCCTTTTCCCTCCAACTTTTTCACTTAAACCCCACCCTTCCTTCAATTGAATCAAAAACAAAACTTTGTTCTCAATTTAGAACTTCGAAAGGGGTATTCTACAATTCAAAGGTGGTGGGATTCATCTTCTTGTCATTGAGGGGAGTAAGTTCATACTTATTGTTCCAATTTTGGTTGAACTTTGTCAATTTATAGAACTAGGGTTTTGATTTGGGTTTCATTTGGTAGAAATTGCTTCCCCTCTTCTTTTTTCTTCCCAATGCAGCAGCTCATTTTTTCTGTTTAGCCATGGCAGAAGAAGCATTAAAAAAAATGGAGAGAGAGAGAGATTAGGGTACCAAAAAAGGGAAAGCTTTCCTCTTTCATTCAAACAATAAAAAGGAAAAGGTTTTAAGTGAAAAAATTGGAGAAGGGGAGCAAATAGGAGAAATAAGGGTCATGCGCATGTCACGTGGAAGTCAACACCGGAAAACGGTGAGTCAATGCCTGAAAGTGGAGCTTGGTTGTCCTTAACAATTTTTTTTTTATTAAGGTCTGACTTTGCCCAAAAAAAAATTTAAAAGGTTGTTTTAAACAAAAAATGTCTTTTAAAAGGTTGTCTTATACAAATTTTCCTTTAAAATATCGACCATTCTTTTGTTATTGTTGCTTTCATTGAATATAAAAAATAAAATTAAAAAAAATAAATATATATATCTAGTTTCATTACCCCCCTTAACAGTCTCATATTATATTCAAAATAGTTGAAGCCAAGTGCATCAAATGCCTGTACTAGATAAACAGAGACTTCTGTCAAGGAGATCTCTGGATGATAGAGACTAGCAGTCCACCAGAGACTTAGGAGATGCTAAGACAACATAAAAATCTATCTAACATCTAAACAAGTAATTGTGCGGAGATCTCCATAAGCATGTGTCCAAATGCACGTGTTCTTTCACCCATATAGACATAAATAGCTCATCAAACTCACTCTCTCCACATACCTACTGTGAAGTCTGTTTAGGCTAGCACTCTCCTGATTTGACATAGAAGGAGTGAACTCCTGACCTCTTGAATAAAAAAAAATTCCCCATACCACATAAAGTAAGATTATGTAATTCAATCTAAGATATAACACTTACATGTGATCCGCCAGAAAGAAACTTTGTTCCTAAGCAGAGCAACCCACGAAGAGATATAATGTAACCTAGAGCTTCACCTTGAACTAGAGAACAGCCATAGCTAGAATGGTATTCTAACAGTGCAAGGCCAGCCTGGCTGCAACTAGGGCGGGCTTTGATTAGTATCAAGCATTATCTAATCTTGTATTTTGAGTAATTCACATATTATGAACAAGGAGTACCAATCCTCCCAAGGAATGTGTTGTTATGCATGTGACATTATAAAAGTGGCAAATGGTCATCATCTTAGCTCAGTTCAAATACTTACCTATTCAGGTTCATTGTAATTAGGAAAATTCCGATCCAAGTAAGAAAATTGTTCCAACCAAACCTTTCCTTTTCAGGATCACCCAAAGAGTTAGGGGCTCTTCCTCACTAGCTTAAAATGAAATACTCCTTATATTCCAAATTTAATACTAACACCAACTTTTGGATAGGGTTTTGTGTGATAAGTTGTTGGCTTAGCAATTATACTTTAAAATAAAAGTAGATGAGGTGGGAGATGGTTTGGAAATTCTATAATTGAATGAGAGAGGGATCGAGAATTAAGAGTTTGTAGTTGGAAGGTCCAAGAAAAGGACAACATATGCTCATAAAGTAACCCAAAATACCACTACAAAAAAAAGGTGACATTATTCCACAGTACATTGCAGACAGCAGCATACTAGCCCCAATATTACATCCAGGATACTTAATACAGTGTACTACTAACAAAGAGCAAGCTGTCTAGAGTTTTGTAGAAACCAAAACTAGGAACAGTAATAAAACAAAATCTTGAAGCTCTCTGATTAGTTTTATACTGTATAATTATTGAATTTTAATAAGTCAGACATGCAGTATTTTTATATTTTTAATTCTTGAATACAAATTCTGATTAATCACTTGCTAGGTTGGCAAGTGATGCATGATAAAAAAAAATGTATAAATGTATAGCTACAACTTCTTCATTTTGCCTCTCTGAATGTCATTGTCCACAATGTCACTTGGACTCAAGTACCCAAGTCTGACACAGGCACGTGTCTAAGCACTTGACTCAGCTACTTTTTGGAAAAATTCCATGATTTTGAACTAAAAGTGAAGTGTCCAAGTGTCGAGAATCCGGCAGGGATATTTGAGGTGAAATGAAGAGTTTGAGTAACATACAAAGATCAAATTTTATTCCATCACCACCCACATCGAATTATATTCCATCACCACCCATATCATTGGTGCTATGTTTAATATGTATAACAGTCCAAAGAAGTTATTAATACAAAATAAGGTAAACTAACTAAATGTTAAGAGAAAAATACCTTTCCAGCCTCAAGAAGAAGGATGCGGTCACAGTCAATAATAGTGTTAAGTCGATGTGCAATTATGAGCATTGTACATGATTTAAATTCTTCTCGTATTGTTTTCTGGATTAGAGCATCAGTTCTCACATCAACAGCAGCAGTTGCTTCGTCAAGAACCAAAATCTTGGATCGTCGGAGCAGAGCCCGAGCAAGACTTAGAAGTTGACGTTGACCAACACTGAAGTTTTCTCCAGCTTCAGAGACCTTCAAACAAAATTAAGAATTATAAGATGAAAATATTTTTTCAAATGTATGAAACCAGGAAACATTAAAGGTATACTAAGCGTGTAAGAGATGCAACAACAAAGAAAAGGTAAGATTTTGGATAAATATAGAATCCAATATATAAAGATTCTATCACGTCTTTTGCGTTGTCATACACTCTAGAATCCTCTACCTAAGCTCAAAAGCTCTTTATCATGCGATACACAATGAATGGGTCACCGAAACGGCGAAACATACAGCTATTACTTTCAACTAGCATATTGAAGTTTGCACTATCTTAAATCCTTTTTCAACCCTCCTCTGTCAAATCTTACCTACATGGCTTCTGATATTGGAAAAAATTAGTTTATGCAAGTACAAATGAGGTATTTTCATTCAAACAAGTTTATATCATACAGAATAAGTTTCAGAGAAAACAAATTCAAATAAATAATTTCAAGTTTAGAAAAAATAAGCAGAATAGAAGAGAGCCCAAGTGAGGTAATGGAGAGACACAAAAATGTACACTACAAAATACAAGCATAATTGTTTCTCAAGAGTCAAGGTATAAACTATTGTACAAAAAGTCATAACAAGTACTAATACTTGTGAAAATTTTGGTTATAGACACTAACAGTAAAATAAAAATACTTGTAACTTGAAAGTTTGTTCAGTGTAACTCTGTAACACCAACCAAAAGCCTCTTGAAAAACATACCTCAGCATCCAGACCTAAAGGATTCCTCCTAATGACTTCCTTCAAATGGGCCCTCTCCAAAGCTTCCCAAAGATCAGCATCATTATGTTCATTGAAAGGATCCAGATTAAACCTCACAGATCCTAATTATACAAGAATAATTATGATCATTATAGTTACTAAGAATACTCTTAAAAAGGTGCAGAAAATTGGCTTTATATAAAAAGTATGATGATAAAATGATCTTAAGTTATATTAATGATTTTATTGATGAGTTAACATTGTAAGAAAAGTAATGATCAATATTTAGAATATATTTTATAAGAAATGCTATGCTTTTGGAAATTATTGCATTTGTGGAAGAACTTGGGACATAAATTTTATATATTCTGGATCCAGAATAGATTTTAAAAAACCAATAACAAAAATAAATAAAGTCCTCTCTTGACTTCCGAGTATTTCTATGGATTGAACTCATTGAAGTATTGAACGATCAGGTCAAACCCAAAGTTAGCAGTAAAAAGATGTACACATGTTAGAAGATAAACGACAATATAATTAAAGACCAACGAAAAGGAAGAAGGGCAATAGTAGAACAGATATCTAAAGACAAATCAATGAAAAAGACATTGGTGATTCAGAAACAACCTTAGATATGTGAAAGAGAAATTCCAAAGCAATCATGTAAAGGTGGTCAACCCAATTAAGCACAAATAAACATCATTAATGATGATCAAAACAAATTAACACAGATTATCAGATTCATTGTTACTTTCTATGTAGCTCAATATTCAATCATAATCAGAAATAAATAATGAAGTTCCAAGGCAAATTAACAATTCTTCCAAAAAAAAGGAAAAAAAAAGAGTTTAGGAGGGAAAATTCCCTCCAATAAAGAACACTGATTCAGCATAGGTAATATAGATGTCAAAAACTATTATAATATATATATATAATTTTTATTAACAAGCAAGAATGACTTTCACGTCAATGAAGTAGTTTGCAGCACAAGTACAGTGTACCCATTCACCGCTCAAAACTAGGGTCAGAGACAGCAAAGTTAACCATAGTGAGAAAATTAACTGAGACCATAACTAAGCAAAACATACCTGAGAATAAAACAGGTGCTTGAGGTATGATTCCTAATACTTTACGTAAATCAGTGAGTCCAAATTTGGCAATATCGTAGTCATCAATTAATATTTTTCCCCTTTCGAGCTCTACAATACGAAATAATGCATTGAGCATGCTAGATTTCCCAGCTCCAGTTCGTCCAACTATTCCAACCTTGTCACTAGGGTTTACTGTGAAGGAGACACCATGTAATACAGGAGGAAGTTCGGGTCGGTAACGTAACACCACATCCTCAAACTTGATAGAACCTGATGAAGGCCAACCAGGAGGAGGTCGGTTACTTTCAATAACAGGAGGGGCTTCAGAAGGCAAATCAATATATGTCCCAACTCGTTCAACTGCATTGAAATTATTTTCTGCAAGACTTGCAAGTCTTAGCACTCCAGTCAACAGCCCTGTGATATTCAAGGCATAACTAAGAAGCAACCCCATAGTAGAGGCAAATGCCTCTTGGTTCTCTGCTCTACCATTCTGCATGACAGCAAAAGTTGCTGTAAGCCATATCATAAGACCCCCAAGTGTTTCCAAACGTATAGCAAGCCAGCGATTTCCACTCATGTTCACTAGAGTGAATCTGATATTGTTGTCCATGGACTTCCCATTGATATTGGCCATTCGGTCATAGGCTTGGTAGGCTCTGATAGTTGCTAGCCCATTTAATGCTTCTCCAAACTGTGCATAAACAGGTGATCTGGAGACTGAATCTAACCTTTTCACCTCTCGCGCTGTGCTCTGCAAAACAAGAATGCAAGCTATTCAGACGTGCAATTGCAAATTCATCAAGTGGCTGAGCATCTCAGTTTATGCTTATGGTCTGATTGTGATATGGACCGCAAAGAATGACGAGAAATTTCCAGCATCAATGAACTTTAAATAATTCTCATGTGACACGATATAGAGAAACTTACTCAGTTACTCAGATATCAATAGATTAGAACAGTATCAAAATTTGCAGCAAAAAAAGAGTAACATGATTGAAAATCACTAAGGACAATAACCTTATATTATCAAAGCATGAGTCCTCCATTACACGATATGATTATCCTATTTCATTGTAAGGTAATGATTGTGACCATTTCATAACAAGAGTTTAAATAAGCAAGAAATTCATGTGATTCAAGAATATAAAATAAACAATCAGGACCAGATTTTGTGTCACATAGGATAGTGCCAGTACTCTATCATCTCAAGTTTATAGATTAAAGATATAGGTAAACAAACATGAGACAACTGACTTGATGATGACTTTTGGAAGCTATAATTAAGGTGAAAAAACAAATTCCTAATCAAACATTTAAAAAGCAAGAGGGACTTTATGCTTCAGGTTCATCGAAGAGAGATTTCCAACTCTTTAAGTTGTAGTTTAGGTATCATTAAGCAATGAAAAGAATCCCAGTAAACCACATGATATGAAAGGGTATCTCTTTAAAATTCGAAGACAAATTTCGGAGCTTTTTCAAGATAATAGACAAACCAGAATGCTAGATATACCTGGAAGTATAGATAGGAACCATAGAACAAGACCAAAAGAGGCATTATGGCCCATAGGGACATGGTGCTCACAATTCCAATTAAAACAAATGTTGATATAAGCTGCGACATCATGTTCAAAAACATATTTCCAAACACAGCAACGTTTCGATCAATATCACCAAGGTCCTTTGCAAATCTATTAATGACACGTCCAAGCGGGTTGGTTTGGAAAAAAACCATTGGAGCTCTAACAATGGATTTAAGCATAGCATCATGGAGTCTCTTAGCCGCATAAAGACTTGAAGTAATCAACCAGTAAGAATTTAGCAATGTAATCAGGACCTGGACCAAGAAACATTTACAGATGTATTATAAATTGTACCCTTCATATACCGAATTATGGCCAACCAACAGGAAAAAAATTTACTCATCGAGAAACCAAATCTAACCAATAGTCACCTGACCAAATGATAAAAGAGCATAGACCAGATTGTAAAATCCTGGTCCATATCTGTGGGGGCTGCTCTGATCTGTCCAAACACTCAACCACGTGCTACTTGAAACTCGCAGAGCTTCTGTGAAGACATAGCACATAAGAAGTATCATAACAACCCATGTCCCTCCAAGTGCGTTTTTGTACCTGCAGCATTTAAAAGAGGCAAATTTCTACATATGATGAACCCATTATTCCACAAAGATAAAGAACATAATAAGTAGCAATAGAGCAAAAAGGTCCAACTTAAGTTTTATAAGTGTCTACTTGATCAGCTGGTTTAAAAATATTATTGCCACATGCAAAGGAGTGGTGCATTGTGTGGAAGATAGGCCATGTAATACCCTAAATTTTTTAGCATATTTAGTCAACAAATTTTCTAGTAGAAACTTTTGAATTTATAAATATTTTCAAATTTATATGTTGTAGTACTCCATCCGTTTTTTGCTTAATGCGTCACTTTCCTATTATGGGTGTTTTTTTTTTTTTTAAATGCATCACTTCCTTATTTGGTAACATTATACTATATTTTATCATATCTCTCTCTTACTTTAAACCCCACTTAAATTATTGTCATTTCTCTATCCTCCATGGTCCCCACTTATATAATAAAGATATTTACTCTCCCTCACATTCTTTCTCTTTCATGGTCCACATCTAACTTTTACTATAATAAATTATTCACCCACTCACAATATTATATTACTCTACTAAAAATCCGCGCACCACCAAGTGATGCAAATAAAAAAACGGAGGGAGTAATAAATTTTATAATTATTATTTTCTATTTTCGGTTTTTTTTATTTTTTTTAAAAAAAAGCTGATCTCGGACAATTTCCTAAACTGGTTTGAAAAATGATAAAAATAAAATAATAATAATAATAATAATAATAATAATAATAATAATAATAATAATAATAATAATAATAATAATAATAATAATAATAATAATAATAATAATAATAATAATAATAATAATAATAATAATAATAAATTTTGAAATTGGCCTTATCAGTTGGAGCTTGCAACACACTCAATTTGAATTGAGTCTTATCTTCTGAATATTCTAGAGCAATTCAATTTAAGCTTTCTAAGTTATATATACACCTAAATCCTAAAGCTGATACAATATCTAACTCTTTAAATTTCACCCAAATCGTCATCCCCGACCGATCTTTCATCGACGAAGGCTACTAGGTGAATGTTTCAGAGGTTACTTACCTTGAGATTACGCATGATCAAGGTTTACTCAATTACGTGTTAGGAGAAATTAGAAAAATCACGTAGCTATGAAAATTTAGTTTACTTCCAAACTTATTTATTTTCCTTCTAATTATTGTTTTTAAAATGTTTTAAAGTTTAGATGTAATGACTATTATTTTTGTCACCACTTAGACCACTTACTTTATTAAATTATTTTCTGTTTTGCTTTGCATTTATTTTCTACGGAAAATAAGAGTAGCAATAACACTCCCAAGGTTCGATGGTTGGGTATTGAAAGTTTAAAAGGTTACTCTTATTGTTTTTAAAAGACTCGAATTTTGGAGGTGTTACAGGTCAAGCTTTTTTCTTTATCATAGCAGCAAAACTCGGCCACATAAAGGTCTTCAATGCATGTTTCTTCAAACATGATCATGCATATCACTGGGTAATCAGTCATTTCATATTTTGACCAAAAAACTTTATTGTAATTTATTTCCTTTAAAAATCCTTCTGGAAACCTAACACAAAAGGCACTTAATTATATTACATAGAGCATACAGTATACAAAAGTAAATCTAAAAAGGCCAGGATACCAGGTTCCACTGCTTAGGAGGAAAAAAAAAAAATAGCCTACATCTTTTAACTCCCTCAACATTTGTTTGGTAAGAATTCCCATCCACACACCTAAACCAATCTAAAACTAGAAGCCAGTGATAGCATGCAAGTGCCGTATCAAAAGACTAGTACCGGAAAATACAGCCACACTCCAGCTACAACAGCTATGCATAACGAGCTTCTACAGGAATGGCACTGCTCATATCCTAATTATCCAATAACAAAAGAGACTTGGTCTAGGCATCATTTATACCAGTGAGTACATCCAGGCTTTTCCTCAAGGGAGGGGCTATTTGCAATTTTTCATCAGAAAGGAACTTCAACTAAGGGTAATAGGAAGTGAACCCTAACTCAACTGAAAGAAAAGGATAAGATGAGAATCATAGAAGCCAGAGGAAATGCTATGAAGGAGGAGGGGAAGGATAAATTATTGGTTTTTTTTTTTTTTTTTTTCTTTTTTTGAGAACGGATAAATTATTGGTCAAAGTCATTAGTATAATAGAAGCTCAATAACAAAAGTATGCAACATCTTGATCTAGTTAACTCTTCCCTGTCATCAAAAATAAAGGGGGAAATGTACTAGCTTAAGTCCTCCATATCCTTTAGGCAACAATATGGAAAATAGCTCTCCCACAAGATAAACAAACAATGAGACGTGAAACCCATACACCAGCCCTCTTTACGTTCAGATTAGGACATTAGAGATGGTGAATAAAGATGCCATCTAAATTTATGCACGTGAGGCAACAGACAGACTACCTGCCCTCCTGCACATATTAAAAACCTGCATGTTCATTTGCAAAGCAGAGGAATGTGAAAGGGTAAACCTACACTAGTATGCATAATGGACTTGCTCCCCAACCTCATTCACAACAACATCCAAAAAAGGAGGGGAGAATTTTTTGTGGTTATTGGAGCATTGGCCAATTAGGAGTATTCACAATACAACAATTATAATTTAAGAAAAAGAAAACAACTGATTAGATGGATGACATGATACCACTTTTTTGGCTAATAAGCACTAATTATGAAAATCATGGTTCAGACATAATAGATAAGATAACTGGTAAGCAACTGTGTTAAGCCAGAAAAGACATTAAGCAATTGCGTCAAGAATATAAAGCTATAAAAGTCAAATACCTTATTAATACATCCAAACTCACAACACCTGTTTCTCGCTCTTCCTGCTTGATCAGAACAGATTTTGATTCTTTAGGTTTTTGTGGATCAGTTGTAACACTTGTTTTGTCATTTAAATTTCCATTTGCTACAACTTTTGGAGCCTTTTCATCACTGCTCTCAACATCAAGCTTCTCTTCTGAGTATTCTTCCATTTTTCCAGCATTTTCCATCAATTTTTGGAACATTACTCCATTCTCAGACAATTCCTCATAAGTACCTTCTTCTTTAATTAGACCATCATGAACCAAGATGATTCTGTCAACTTGTGACAAAAAATGCAGCTGGTTTGTGACAAGTACCCTAGTTCTTCCACTAAGCTCCTCCTTGATACACTTCTCGAAAACCTACAGATCATAATAATTTTTTTGAAAAATTAAAAAATAATCAAACCATAACTCAACAGATGAAGCACCGATCATCTACTACGAAAAGGTAGTCATTACTAGTTTATGAGATTACAGAAAACAGCAACTCTACTATAATTCTACAAGGAAACACATCTTTCCTAATGCCCCATTCTTAGAAAAAACCTACCTCGCCCACTTCCCCACGAGCATAAACCTACTAGGCCTGGCACCTCCTGCTTTCTTCATCATTTATCTAAAAAACTTTCAGCACTGTGATACCCTCTCTCCCACAAATAGCTCCAGGTTGAGAGAATTGATTAAAGTGACAGGCATTCTTCTCAAAAACAAATAGTGACTATAGAGATAATTCAGGACGATATTCTATATCTAACAAGAAAAGAAAATATCAGTCAGGTAGACACTAGAGATCAGCATTAGTGTTTAAAATTGTGTTCATTATCAATGGGTTAGTGCCTTGGAGTTGGAGGTGTGGCTATTGTAGAGGATGGGATGTTATAGCTTATATATAACGGCTTGTAAGAGGAGCAGGGATATATTCGCTATGATTTAAATTGGTGGAGGCGAAGGGAGAACTTCAGTTATAGAAGTCTTGAATGTTTTTTGCCTATTAATCTCATCAATTTCAAGCAGGAGTCGCAGGACTAATAATGCTACTTCCTAGAGTGACTTTTAATCCCAAAAAAAGCCCATACATAATGCTTAAACAAAGATATCACCCTTTATTACTTAAAGCCATGTTAAACTGAGCAGATGAGTAAGAATATAAGTACTACAGCCAACGAAGTATACCAGTTTGCACGTTATCTCTAGAAAAAGTCCAAAAAGGAGAAAGAAAGAAAGAATAAGGGAAATTTTGTAAAATATCCTAGACAAAGAAAAAAAAAAAAGTCACACAAAATTCTACTTCTTAGTTCCTCTCTGAATTTAATATACTGTTTTCCTGAGCAAGTTGAATAGATAAAGCAACCCAAATTAAACCTGAAACAAGCTAATGAGAAATAACTCATGGAAATTCCAGAAAAGTAAACTTGAAAATCTTAAAAACGATTTTATTGAATTTTGTACATGGCCTAGTGTTGTATGGTGAAGAAAATGTAGGAAAAAATATAATCTTGCAAATTATAAGGTCGATTTCCTAATTGCAATCAGAAAGATTAACACAAAATGCAACAAGTGTTATTTAGGACTTTTAGGTTAAACAAACCTACAAGCATACGCTCAAAATAATTCCAAAACAAATTCCAATTTTATCAAACGATATACATGCCTTTAATTTGGCTTGCAAACAAAGAAACTAAATTAATACAAAAAACATTAATCATAATAAAAAGTAAGAATCTAAAATTGACCAGGTCAAACTTTAACCATACTAGGAATACAAATCCTAACCCAAGTAGGATTGGTAACTAATTGCAATCTAACTAGAAATTGAAAACAAATCTTAACTCAAATAAGGAAAAAAAAAAATACCCTAAAACCAACTAGGAGACGAAAGCAAATCCTAATCTAACAAGTGATGAAAGGGAAAATGTGAATCATTAAAGATATAAGTTTAAAAAAAAACCCCTACTCAAGTGAATCATAAAAATGTGTTTCAGATACTCTAAGCTATTTATATAAGTAATAAAACATAGCAGACCACCAGTCAACATACATACGCAAGTCGCCTAGACAGCAACCAGGTAGTGAGAAGGGAAATATGGGTGACAAGGAAACTGACAAGACAGAGGAAGGCAGCAGAAAGTAAGAGCAGAAGTAGCATCCTAGGGATTGGTGTAATAAATAAGAGAGGGAGGGAATAAGTTCAAAATGCAGAAGTGTAATCTGGTTTTGTAGGGGGAAAGATTGTATGCCTCTTGAACAGCTCACTGATTGTTAACCCTTTTTATCTTTCATTATTAATCGAAGAGCCCGTCTTTCTTTATAGATCTTGCCTTCTCTCAATTTTGTGCAGTGTTTTGACTGAATTGCGCCTCAGATTTGTTACAATTTAAAATAAGTATAGAAGAATTATGAATGCTCGCACATCACCAACAATGATTTGCTGTGTCAACTCACGCTGGTGACAGGACAAAATAACAAATCTGTATATATTTACATGAACAGAAGCCAGTAAATTCCAAAGTTCTTCGTTAAATGCAGCTGCAGTAATAGAAGACTGACGAGAAAAGCAGGGATAATTATATATTATACACAAGTTTATTACGAAAATACTGGATATTTAGGTTTTGCTTAAATGCCCAGTCAACAAATGAATATTAGCAATCAAAGTTTAGTAAGCTAGTCCAAAAAACTTGTCATATATTAACAAATATCAAAGAGTGTCTTGAGTCTTAACTAATAGATTAATAAAAGCACAACAAACCTCCAAGAAAAAATGGAACCCAAAAAATAGAAACAAGTAGGCACCCAATAATTACCTGGCGACCCACATGTGCATCAAGAGCACTCAAAGGATCATCAAAGATATAAACATCTGATTTGGAATACACAGCCCGAGCCATTGATACCCTTTGCTTCTGGCCACCGCTAATATTCACTCCTCTTTCGCCAATCTCAGTAAGATCACCACCCTGATCAAGAACCAAAAAAATTACATGTATAAATCACAAAATATATATACATACATACATATAGGGGGAGGCTCTCGTGAGAATTTTTCTTATGTGAGAATTTTTCTTATGTGAGAACACTCTTTATGTTCAAAAGTTTTACTCATATGTTCTAAATTTTAAATATGATGTTCTAAACTTTTCCTTAGGTGTTCTAAATTAAATCAAATGTCCTTAGGTGTTCTAAATACTCACATATTCTAAACCATAAATTAGTTAAGTTTAATATCATAAATTTTAAATAACTTGATCCAAAATTTTAACTTATATGTTCTAAATTTTAAAATGTGTGTTCTAAGATTTTTAATTATATGTTCCAGATTTTAAAGCGCATGTTCTATATTTTAACTCATATGTTCTAAATTTTTTGGGAAAAATTGAAAAGAATAATCCCACCTTTCGCCCATCTGCTCAAAATAATCTCACCTTTTCGAATTCCAAAAATAATCCCACCTTGTAACCCCATCTTCCCAAAATGAACCTTTTTACATACAACCGTTTCAACAATTTTTTTTTTTTTGTTCAAATAATAAACAAAGGCAGAAGAAAAAAAAAAGAAAAAAGAAAAAATCCCCTAACACCATAACCCAGCCCCACCCCACCATTGACACCGCCAGTCCAGCTTAACCCTAGCCGTCGGCACCCCTGCCCCACCAATACCGGCGAAACCCTCCTTCCCCCTTTCTCTCTCTCCCCGAAAACCATCTCAACCCTGCCTAACCACCGCAAATACAACCCGAAACCCCACCTCAATCGCTGAATTGGAGCTTGTGGCTGCGTTATGGGTTGAATTGGATCTTGTGGCTGCGATTTATGGGGCTGCGACATCACGGTGGCTGGGTTGGGGTAATTGCGGAGTTAGTGCAGTGGTGGACTGGTGGTTGTTATGGGGTATGTTGGGCGAATTTGGAGGTGGTGCGGTGGTTGATTAATGCGGCAGCAAATGATTTGAAGGTGGTGCTGTGGGGTTGCTGGTGTGGCTGGCGAATCCCGGGAGTTAAGAGGGGTTGTGATTGGTGGCAATTTGGAGGGTGTGGGTTCAGTGGTGGTTGGCGTGGAGGGACCGTACAGGAGAAACGATTTGGTGGTGATTGGTGAATTTGGTGGGAGGGAATCAAGGAGGGCGGCTGGCCGGCTAGGTCTGGTCGTTCTCGCGGACAACTGGGTCTGGCTGGTCGGCGGTGGCTGGTCCGGCGAGGGAGAGGAGCTCTGGTAGAGTGGTAGGGGAAGGAAGAAGAAGAGGGTTTTTTTTTTTTTTAATTCTTTAATTTTTAAAATAATTCTTTAATTTTTTAAAAACCCAATTAAAAGGTGACATGTGTCAAATTACCTTTTAAAACAGGTTACCAATTCAAACAACCGGTCATTAAATGAAAAAGGTTCATTTTGGGAAGATGGGGTTACAAGGTGGGATTATTTCTGGAATTCGAAAAGGTAGGATTATTTTGAGCAGATGGGCGAAAAGTGGGATTATTCTTTTCAATTTTTCCAATTTTTTACTCACACTTTCTTTATTCTATATCAGTTTGTTCTAAATTTTTATTCACATGTTCATAATCTTAAATCAGATGTTAAAAATTTTACTCATATGTTTAAAATTTTATAAAGCAGATTTTATAAATTTTTAATCACTTGTTCTAATTCTTAAATCAAATGTTCTAAACATATTACTCACATAGATGTTCTAAATATATGTATACATATATATATATATATGTCAATATATATATATATATATATATATATAATAATAATAATAATAATAATAATAATAATAAATGAAACAACGAATTAATACAAACTGCATGGACAAAATGAAATATAAAAAATATCCAGAAGCATTGATCAAGTGATGAACATAAACTTACTGGAAGCAATTCCAGGTCTTGCTTCAAGGCTGTAACATTGAGTGATGTCTCATATTTTGCAGGTTCAAATACTGATCCAAATAGAATGTTATCGCGTACCTACAAGAACCCATATTTAGGAGTGACAGAAATTCTTCATAAATTATATTTTAACTGATAAAGTAGAGACGACCAGTCCACTTTAGTAATTGAAAACAAGCCCAGCTTCTGAATAGTATCTCTACTGCCAATAAGACAAAAGATAACATAATTAAACAACTCACAGTTGCGTTAAATATCCAAGAAACTTGTGGCACATAAGCAACTGTCCCTCTGATGACAGCACTTGTATCAGAAGACAAAGCAGGAACCTCCCCAAGCATTGCAGATATTAATGATGTCTTTCCTTCTCCAGTACCACCTACTATTGCTACTAAGCTTCCAACAGGTATATCCAAATTTATATTGGCTAGTGTGGGCTTCTCTGCCTGAAAAAAAAAATAAATAAATAAATTCAAACATTTGATATCATTAGAAATGTGACCCACCAGAGCCCAAATATGTTCACAGGACTGTTAGAATATATGTAAGTAATAGATGGTAGTTATCAAGCATAAGAACCTTAAACACACCAAAACAAAACGAAATTCAATGTAGAGTCGTAGAAGAATTGATGATAGCATTTTTGAGATATTAAGACTTTTTAACTAATTAGTTAAAATCTAATTAAACACATTATCACTGAAAGCTATCGTTAACATAATTATGGTAAGATCTACAACTGCAAGTTTATTGATTATTTATTACCTTTATTAAGCATTTGTTATCAAAATATGATGTGAGATTAACCTCATTTCTTGTCAATATTTAAACATATTGCATTGTCCCCACTACTATAGGCCCCATCAAACCCCTAAACCAAGACTATAATAAATGAAAGAGATCCAAAGAGATGAGACAATCTAAAATCGTACACCATACCATCAGCTCACGACCTCTAACAAGACAACAGCAAATTGGAGAATAAAAGGAATCTAAAGTACACTTGCCTCTTTTATCCATTTTTTAAATACTTGCAAATTTTGGCATGGAATCAGTATCATATTATTGTTTCTTTCACTATATCTACTTGCACTAATCCTAAATTGTTAATCTCTCCTAGAAACAATTAAGTACACCCATCAGCTCCACTTACACATTAATTTATTCATTTCCATGTACTACCCAGTATCCATAGTTCTTCCTATAACTACATGTAATATCAAGTATTTAGAAACAGGGAGTATATACACTACCCCTATTTTAATTTGTTCTACTCTATTGATGGTTTTTTTTTTTTTTTTTTTTGGTTCTACTTTACTTTATTCCATTATCGGCATACTACATTTACCATCATACCCCTCTTAGCCCACAACATCCACACTTTTCCAAATTCTCTCACTTACTTTAATTTACACCTACCCACCTTTTTACACTATTGCTCTCTCTCTCTCTCTCTCTTACTTTATCTTACACCCAACCACTTTTTTACATACTTTCATTTTTTTTTTTCAAAGTTTTCTTAAACTACTACCTCCGTAACAGGTTATGTGCAACGATTTGACATAAAGCAGAGAGGAAAAATGTATAATCGTTGCACATAACCTGTAAAGGAGGTAGTAAGTATCTGCAGTGACTTGTACAAAATGAATGTAGTATATATTTTTAGCAAGGATACGTGAGTAAACCTTTAAATCCCAAGAGAAGTTTCCATTTTTAATCGAGACAGCCGGCAATGCTGGATCAAGAGGCGGATTTGGCAGAAGGACCCTCTCCTCAGCAAGCAATAATTCTTCCAAGCGCTTTAGGGATACATTTGCATTTACAACCTGTCACCACAAAAAAAAAAAAGGACCAGGAATACATGATCAAACTAATATTTCAAAATAGCTGAGCAGCAACATATAAATCAGATTAGAGAGCAAATTGAGCATATAAAGAGGAAGCTATTTTATGTATTCAAATCTTGGTAGATCAGGAAAGGACAATTGACACCCTATATTTTCATTGACATTGCACAGCTACTCACAAACATCAATAGATAAATTACACTTTTAAGGAATCCTGCAGGGTGAGGAAGGCAGTGAGAGCACACCCTTAAGGGGACAACATTCACTACAGAGAATATTGCTATAAGGAATATGGCAATACTACAACATCACTGGGGATAGGGCCATATTGAAAGATCTATATAATAGATTGAAATATAAAACTATTCAGAAATATTTCTATCATACAACTTGACAGAATCAGTCCACGAAGCCATGTATGAAATAGCTAGAAGATTTGCCAGATTACCTGTGTTATGATGTTTGGAAGCATAAACAGAGGAAACCGTAGCACTGCAAATAATGAAAGAGATGTAAATGCCCTCGCTGGTGTCAACTCCCCTCCAAGCAGTGAGAACATCCCAAAGGAGACCACAGTTACCATAACAGGTATACTATTCAGTATAAAACTGTTTAACTGAAAATGCAAGAAAGGAAAAGACATCAACAGGCCACATATTGGACAAGCTCAGGAATGTGAACACATCCAACAATGGGCAAGGAGACAATAAACCATGTGCAATAAGATCACAAATAAAGTAGACACATGATTCAAATTCAAACTAGCTACATTAAATCAACAATAGCTAACAATTATCCACTAAAGAAACTACTAAAACATCATAATGAAGTGTTCCAAATTCATATACAGATAATATAGACCACATAAGACAGCAGTAAATTTACCAAAGTGACCAGACACAACAAAATTCATTAGCAAAAACCATCAGAATTCAGGAATCGATATTACAATGAATGAATATGATTTAAAAATTTATATTAATATTCAATCATCCATACATACATCAGTGTTGTGGCAAGACCCATGTAGCCATGTGGTGACCTGCATCTAATCTATATAGCCAAAAGTAACTCTAGGACTGATACACTTGTTGCACATGGCTGCATAGCTAACACAGGAGATTCCCCAAAGAAAATAAAAAAATATAAAAAATAAACTTCCCAATCCATTAAGTTATACTTAAGAAAGCAGCATTGATATAGAGTCACTGGGACTTACTACTACTTGCAGGTTAGTTAACTGGTTAAGTCATCACTTCCATTCTCTACAGGATAAGGGTCCAAATCCATAAGCTCACCAAATCATTTGTAAGAAGAAATCATCACTAAGCCTCCTTTCAAAAGAGTCCAAAATTACCCTCTCAGCCACAATCGACCCATGACACATATGCTCATGCTATCATTTTTAGTAGACTTCCTCTAGATCTTCTATTCCTCTCTCTTCCTTAATTTACCTCTATTTTCTCTAACTCAAGCACTTTATGGTGGATACTCCACCAAAAAAAAAAAAAAAAAAAAAAAAAAAAAAACAGGGCGAAATCTTATTTGTTTATAGTGCTATTGGAACAGGCTGGTACCGTTTCAGTTCATAATATCAGTTACGCAAGTAATACATTAGAATAGACACTAATTAATGGAAATCTTAGCAGATTGCTCTCTACATAAATCAGTACACCCGATTGTTTACATAAGTACCATCATCCATAGCCACCAAGAAGTTACACCATCAGAACTAGGACAGCACCCTTTTGAAAGTTAAATTTAAATTAAATAATAAATAATAAATTAAATCCTTTGACCAGGAACAATATGCAAGAATTTGAAAATTTTTCAATTCTGAAATCACAGAATTCGGAATTCCTCATTTTCTCCCAAACAAGGTTCTCATACCGCTGCTAGTAGCTGCGCTTTGCAAAACCATGATAGCTCATCCGCTCGTAGGGTTTGGACCTTTCCTTGGAAACTAGTCTCCCATGCATAGCACCTGGTCAAAATTAGCAGGACTTCTTATAAATTCTCATTTGTCTTACAAAAATCCAAGGCATAAGCCAATGTTACAAGATTTACACACTTTACAGTATCCATAGCAGCCAATATTTCATTCATAAGGCCGATTCTCTTGTCAGTGCGCTGTAAGCCTTCTTTGGTCAACTTCTGCATCTTGCTGATGATATATGTCTAGCATAAAAATGTAATAAGTCATTTTACGTTTGAATAAGTGATAGATAAATAATTTCCAAAGGAGTGAAACAAGCTTTAACTGAATGAACATACATTTCCAAACTCACAAACCTGCACCTCACCAACAGGGTAGTCAATCCCTCCCACAACAATTCTTCTTATATGACAGAAAATAAATACTTCATACCACCCCCATTTCTGAAGTTCACATGTATTATTAGCACAGTGCTGAAGTGGTGAGTGGGTGTAAGAAAAAGGTGGATAAAGTAAGAGAGAGTGCAAAAAGATGATTGGGTGTATGAAAAAAGAGGATTAAGTAAGAGATAGTGCGTGTAAAGGTGAGTGGGTGTAAGATAAAAGTGGATATACTACGAGAGAGTGTGTTAAAAAGGTAAATGGGTGCAAGAAAGGTGGATAAAGTAAGAGAGTGAGTAAAAAGGTGAGTGGGTGTAAGAGGGGCAAAGCAGTAAAAAGGGTTTGACAAATATGGAATCACTGAAAGTGTTAAGAACTTTTAGACACGGAGAAAGTACTTGTTTCTTAGGGACTGTTGCGTCAAAGTCCAGAGCCAAGAAACGACCTAATGCATTTGAACAATTTCTACTTATTATAGACAGTTTTAAGACTTTCCAAAAATGCCAACACTTTTCATACATTATATACTACATCCTCCCTAATCCTTGTTATCTGATAAATAAACTTTTTGTAATCCATATGGAAAGAACATTGTAATCATGTCAATATTCATCAACATGAAATCCATACAAGTCCACAAACCAGGCAAAATACAACTCTTTGATCTCCAAATCTCAATTAATAGTAAATTATTGAAATTCAGATCAGCCACAGTTGCAAATAGTTGGCAGGACCCCACTTGAGCAAACCTTCTCTTACAGAGGATAGTAATTAATTTGCAACAGAAAAATTAGACGCCCTAGTAATCCAGTAACTTTCAACAGTGTGTAATTTCTCAGGTTCAACCAGCCAACTGACCTAGGTCATGAGCCCCTAAAGTGAGAATGGTACTTAGAGAAACAAATTTGATGTGTTACATCAAATCCTAATAGGGGTACCCTAAGACAGAGAGAGAGAGAGAGAGAGAGAGAGAGAGAGAGAGAGAGAGAGATCATATACAAATTTAAATAAACAAAATGGATGGTGCTTGATATGCAAGTTAATGAGGAATCTCATACTGTAGTCTTCACTCTCCACTTGTAGTAATTACTGTGGTCATGACACAACAATACTAATAGTGAAAAATAAATAAGCAAACACAGGAACACCCAACAATGTTTTCTTTCCTTTAAGATTACATTTGCAATTTAACAAAGAGTAAAATGGCATTTGTTTTCTTATTACCTGTATGGGGAACAAAAGAACTAGCATCAAAGCACCAACAATTGAAGCCACTCCTAGCTCCTTGTAAAGAAGAACCATAGCAATAACAATACGAAATGGAGCAGACCACACTGTATGAAGGGACTGGCAAACTTGCTGCAGTAATAAGAACAACACATGAGATGCAATACACATTTTAATTTAACACAAAGGGCCTTCAAACAAACATTAAAATTTGGTCTACGTCACAGAGATCCAGCACTCTAGCAACTATTGCATATACCAGTTTCCCAATCTACTTGGAAAACAGAGACATCACAGGGCAAAGGCCAATTAGTCAGATTAAAGGAGCAGGCAAGAAACTAATATACAGTATACTAATTAGGTTCTAGATAATTCTCTCAAGAAATGAACAACCAAACTATAATTCCTTTTCAAGAGATTTAAAAGGGATATTATCAAGAAATTTTCTCTAGGTTAGGTTTATATACATGGTGAAGGTCTGCTTCAATAGGTCATGACAGAGTTGCCACATTTTATGAATGCATTCCTCAACAAGAATATCATTGACGACACAGATTCTAGGATAAGACGGCCATTGGTATTCAAACTCCTCATTCCACCTGAAGTACCCGAATTATATCCTTGCTACTCTGATATAGATATGGACACTTGAAACTTCATTTTAGACCCAAATGATGGAATTCTTTTCATACAAAAGCCAAAGTCAGACACTTAGACAGAATTCCATGTCTCAGTAACATAGGATAGATGAATAAACTCAAATCTTAGCATTAAGGTCAATCATATTTTTCATGTCTTGAATACTTACACATATATTGGTTCCTTCAATGTTTAAATTATATGTGCCAATTCAACAAAAGATTGATCAACATCAAAACATATAAATTACTTGCAGCTAATATCATGATATTTATTCGCTAGCAAGTAGCAGCTACTGAAACTGTGCTAGCCAACAACAGATAAGATGTAATCTCTTAAAACAAGATTTTAAATGCTGCTTCATACACTCAACAGCAATTTGGATTTTTCAACAATGATCAATTTAATATACTAGATTAATAATACATGCCTGGAGAGATTCAGCATCAGTAGTCATCATATTGGTTATTTTCCCAGTTGCAATTTTTTTGCGACTCTCGTGAGTTAGCCTTAAGGATTTGCGAAATACTGCAGCTACCTGCAGGACAAACACAAAGATAGATATGAATAATGGGAAGACAACATATCACATGCCAATAATGAAATTCAACTATGAAAAAAATAAAAATCATATATATAAAGGTAATGTAGAAAATAATCTTAAATTACCAACAACTATTCCGAGCACAATAAGCCACATACCACAACTAAGCTATTCCTTCAATATAAAAATGATATGGAAGTGATTGAACTTCTTTTCTTAAGATATATAGGTGTTGGACAAAGATACAAGGAAAGCCAAAATAAATTTACCAACGTAGATCGGAGCCGGTACCCAACACGCATAACATTTTGAAAATATTGTGCTTCACATAACACCCCTAACACCTGGATTGTACATTAAACAAAAATGCAAAAATGTCAGGACCATTCAATGAAATAATTGATAATATTTAAGATTATCATGTGAAATGAAACTTATGCAACTTCCTTAAGGAAAACAATGGAAAAATAGCTACTTTTTAGTGTTAAGAATAAACAGGGGGAATTATTTAGAGATAAAAACAGAAAGTAAACTGTACTTCGTAGCATGGTACACTTGGGACAATGGTTAATCAGGTTAAGTTATGGGACTTTAAAACCGAATACTCCCAAGAAGACCTTCATCCGATCGTGTAGTTATTTATCGTACTAGATAGTTTACATTCATCCAAATTTTTATCCTACTCCTGGATGAATTATGGGACATCATATTAGTTTTTCATGATTGAACTGAATAGGTTGCTGTACAGGAAACACGTCATCACTAGCTTTCCTTGTGAAGTAACCTTAAACTATAAAACACACCAACATGCAACAAGGAGATATAAGTGACAGACAACCATTTTGTTTTTGCTGTCAATGTAAGATAATTTATATAGTATTGCAGCTAACAATTGCCACTTTCTCCCATTTTCCCTTTTTTTCCAGAAATTTATCGCTTCTTGTGGAAAAATCAAATTTTTTCCTCCCAGCCCTTCACTTTTGCTAATTTCAGAAGATTTGTTATCAGTTACTAGAAATATAGAATACTAGATGAGAATATTCAACATCTTGAAATAGCTTGAGCAAAAACACACATTCCAAAGTGAAAGTCCAGACAGACCCTGGATGGTTATTATCCACCAGGAAACATTGACAACTTTTTCATTATTTAGCTTACTCAGTGAATGTATACCACATATTGGCAAAGGCAAAGTATTTATCCTATCATAAAAGCAGAGCATGTCCAGTTTACTAGCTTGTTATAATTTGATACAACTCCTATAAGAGAAAAAGTTTCATTCTGAACTAATTTGTAATCACCAAAAAGAACTGTGAAGAGCACATATATGTGCAGATATCCTCAGACAAAGGATTTTAGAACTATGCGTTGAAAGATCATCTGGAAAGAAGCCATCACTCAATAACATTTTACACGTGGACATATAGTCGAACATCGTGTCTATTTTCTCGTGTCTTTGTTATAAGATTTCTAGGTCTAGCACTCTAGTGTGATACTATATTTTTTATTTTGAGTTATTTTTCTTTATTTTTTAACATAAGATGGTTTCTATGAGAGCAGGATCTAGCACAATTTGGGTACAAGAATTGGCGCCAAAAACTTCGAAGACACAGAGATGACAAATTACCTACTAAATGATATAGATCATATTTAAAGATAAGATTTTTTTATAAATTTTCTATTAAAACTCAAATAAGATGAAAAGACGAATTAAAACATTAATATTTGTAAGCAGTAAGGCAATACATAAAAATGATGGAGTACTAGTGTAAAGTTTTATACAGAAAAAACATTAATAATAAGAATAAAGAGCTCCCTTGCACATGTTCTCATTTCAGCTACTCCTGTTTTTTTTTTTTCTTTCTTTCTCCACTCATCTTTTTCTGCAATGAATTTTTTAAATCGGTCTCGCAAATGCATACCCAGTGCCCTTTACATAATCACCAACCTCGAATCCTTAATCCCACAAAACCCAAATCCAAAGAACAAACATCTACACCCACATGGGGTTTGGTTGGCATCAAAACTTTGGCAACAAAATTCAAATTTATCATTAAAACCTACTAGCAAGTTATGCAAGAAGTCAACTCTAGCTTAGATGGAGCCCGGGATTTCAAAGTAATCACTGTGTCTAATATTTAGTTGGAGATGGTGGTGGATTAGGAAACAAAAGAACAAATACGGTAGGGAAATTGGGGGAAAAGGGGGAAAAAAATTGAAAGACTAATACGAGGTTACATAATAAACGGTACGTGTCCAATAAAAACGCATGAACCCATATAAATAAAATTAAAAATAAAATAAAGACACTCCAAAAACCGTGTTATGTATCGAAATCACCTTGTCTCACGACTCCCACCCCACAACCATACCTAACACAAGATCCAATAGGCATACTCGTGCTTCATAATTAATTATCCAACTGAAATAAGTCTAGTGGTTCCTATGTTTGTTAATATATATGAAGTTGTTGTTTTTGTAACAATCATTCATGGTTCAGTGGATTTATCATCTCTGGTTTTATGCACTCACAAACATGACAGCACAATTTGAGTGGAAATTTTAAAATCCTATTTATGCAGCATTGCAGCAATATTAGAAGTCAACTACAAAAGAGCAAAATACAAAATGAAATTGATCACTGAATTCATAACGAAATTTTAATGACCCAATGGATAAATAGAGGTAATACCACTCCCACAAAGATTGAAAAGGCATAAATGTAACCTATCCAAGCTGGATCTCCTTCTTGCATTGACTGCAAAATTTACACATCACAAAAGAACTGTATTCAGCTGATACAAATGATTAGAAATCTTATTGAACAAAAGATTATAAAAAAAATACACAGCTAGGTGCAATGTTGATGATGAACTTCCACAAATTTATCTTTCGTACCTGCGATATTTGTACGGATGCACGCTGGTGAATGCACATTTACACGTGTGCTACTGAGTATGACTATGTGAGCCAATAAGTGGGTTTATTACAGATTATAGCCAATATGTGAGCCAATAAGTGGGTTTATTACAGATTATAGCCACTAAGTTAAAGCTTATTTAAAACCATCATTATCCTAAATTCCTGCAAAACTATACAAAAGCATGACCCTACTACCACTTTTCCCAACAAAATAAGTTGTGAACCTAAAGTACCTATTAGATGGAATCACAAGAAAAAATAAGCAATTACAAGGAAAATTATGGGAAATTGTGAAAACGATATAAAGCAATATACATAATATAAAGCTCAAAACCCTCTTATAACTATATTACACAGAGATCATTCACATGAATAAACTAGCCTTCTAAGAAAAAAAATATATTAAAAATTATAATCATGTGTGATATAACTTATATCCTTAATCTTCCTAATTTCAATAATTTATATGGTTTACAGAAGGGAAAAGGAAAGTAGAGATGAAATTTGTTTTACCAAATTGAAGAAACCAACAATAAACCCTAATCCAATTATCTATTTCTTCATAGAGTTTCCACCAATAATCAGCTCATATCACCACATAACATCAGCGTAACCACCCCTGTTGCCTATTGCCACCTTCTTCCATACTAGTTCTTCATTAACACATTTTTAATGCTACATGAAGAACATGCCTAGGCCAAACTTTATAATGAGCAAAAGCCAAGGGCGGTCACTGGTCAAATTATAAAGTAGGGACCTTGAAGACCCAAGTCAAACCACCAGGGAAGCTGAATCTTCACCATGACAAAGTATATTGTTTGAAATTGTGTGTGTGTGCGAGAGGGGGGGGACCCCTTATTTTGTCTAAAACTTATACTATCTCAACTTATCCAAACTAATTTTGTTTAAACTTTATCTAAAATAAGTTAAAATAATACGAGTACAAAATAAAAACAAGCCCTTAATTCTAAATTCAACATTATGCAACTATTCCACTTTTCTTGTTGGTCATATGATGGAATGGGAGAACTGACCGTTAGTAGGCTGTTGAGCAAAAGTGGACCAACAAATTGCGAAAGATCATTACCAATCTGCAAGTCAGAAATATTTGGGCATTACATGCATGATAAAGTTGATAACAGCTAATGGAACAAACTGTTCAAGAGCCCTTATTTTAATAGTTTTTAGACCATTACATATATTAACCCTCTTATGGTATAGGCTAACACACATTTATACCAATGGAAAACTCATATCAACTAAATAAATCTTGATAAAAATTAACTTGTATACGATACATAAATCAATTTATGTATAATTTTGAATTAGAATATCTCCATGAGTATCTTATACAATCTATAAACCATGGTTACCTATTTATATACACATTGAAACAATTTAACAAAAACCCACATGATATATTTTTTTTTCCTTATATACAAATCACAAATTGGTTATATATACCTGAATTTTATATAATCAATTAACATCAATGACGTGTCATTATTATATATATACTTTTTAAATTTATCTTCGTATTTAGTTTTATAATTTTATCCCACTAATGTTTTATGAACTGTCTTATTTTTTTTTTAAGCATTGTAGGAACTGTATTGATTTCCTTCGCTAAAGTTTTCTCAAAACTTTATGATTTTTACTCCAACAATTTAACCACTCCTTTTAAACTTTCTTGAATTTTATTCTTCGTTCTCTTTTAAAACTCCCTTAATTTTCCTTGGATGCTCTTTCTTTTGTTTACTTTACTCACCTTTTTCAAATTCTTTCAAATGATTATCTTTTTATGTTCCTTTCTTTATATCGTATTGTTCCTTATGACGATCCATGTAAGCTGACCCCAAAGTTTTTTTGGGCTAAGGCTTAGTTGTTGTTGTTGATAAAAATCACAATTATGGTAAAATTCATTTTTTCTAATATTGAACAAATGAATAGTAAATGAGTACCTACGACAATACACATTGTGTGTGTTCCATTTCTTTTTAGTTGACACATTTTCACTACACGCAATAGGCACTATTAAGTTACTTTGATTCCCTTTTGCAATTTATATTCAAGGACAAACATAGTCATGTAGGGACTTGTTGGATTCATCACAATGTATATTCTCTAAAAATAAACCGAATATAATTTTTTTTCTTATTGATAATTAAAAAACGTTATTTCTGAAATCATGCATAGGCAAATGTGTTAAAAGAAATGTGTCTACTAAAATGAAAAGGAGGAAGTATAAGTATATTATATTTTTATGTGTTGCATTATTATACAAGCCAACTAATCAAATGTTAAATATATAAATAGAGTAGAAATAGCTCAAAATAGCTTCCGGTAATGTCAGATTTTTGTTTCTAGATAATGTGAGTTTTTACAGGTAATGTGAGTTTAATATCAGATATTGTAATTTTTTCATAGCAATATATATATTCTATAAATGATCTTGCATATTTTGAAGACAAAAGTACCTTCCAGAATCCTCCCCACCAAAACCTACAGACAAAAATGAATGGGTCAGTAATTAAAAAAGTATACATATAAGATATATTACAGCAAAACAAATATTAATAATCAAATCTTGAGGATATACAAAAGTAGCCCAAACATGTTAAAGTCAAAATGGTTCACTGAAATGAAAATATAAAATCTAATTTTTAGGAATAAATTGGACAATTTGAGAAAATAGGGAGCAAAATGTTTTTGCACAAGGCAATAAGACAAAAACAAAAGCTTGAAAAGTAAAAAAAAAAAAAAAAAAAAAAAAAAAAAAAAATCAAACAAACCACCACCAATTAGCATAGGTTTACAGATGAAAGATATTCACCAACATACCTTCCACCAAGACTACGATTTAACGGTCTTAAAAGCCAAGGTTTTGGTTTTCGAGATTCCACAACCCAGCAACTCTGGAACCTAGAATATCAGACAAAAACCCAGGGAAACCATTCATACACTATAAAAATAAGAGATATATGTAAGAAATTGTACATACTTGCTTATCAATGTTTCAGTTTGATCCCATGTGTCTAGCTTCCATACGTCCTTCTCTGTTAATGGTCTTTTATAACCAAGCTCCATGAGGGGATTCATCCACGAAAATAAAATTTCTATCATCAAGGTAGACAAAATAATAAGGCAACTTGTTAAAGAACAGAACACTTCAGAAATTGAGACTACATGTTCTGATGTATATCTTATTAGGATAACATAAGCAAGCAACCAGTCCTTCCTTCAATCACAAAAGTTTATAAAATCATCTAATTAGCCATCTTAAACATGTTTAAAAGTTTCCAATTGAAATTGCTTTTACGCATATGACAAGGAAAATGCGATTATGATGTCTCTTTAATTACTATCTTGAAAAGGAAAATGTAATTATGATGTCTAATCATTAACTAGAAGTGATTCAAACATTTTAGAATTCAGGGAATCATCAAACATAAAATTAACAAGGATGGAAGATCAGCTCCCAAAGGTAAGAGAGGAAAAAAAACATACTAGAGAATATGTTAACATGCCTCTCCGGACAGATTAGTTCTCCACCAGGAAGTTCCTCGTACTCACTGTCATCAATTTGTTCATGCCTTATGGGAGTATACCCCGGGTAAGGATCCAAACTAGGAACGTAGACAAACAAAAGTACTCCAAACAGGCCCTAAACCAAAGAAAATGAGCAACTCTAAATACATCTTTAAGAATAGAGAGCACATTAGTCACAGATAAGACAAGCATAAAAATACCACTTTTATCAGAAGTGAGTTGCATGAGCTTTCAATGATACGTAGTTTGCAACATGAACTAAGAAAACTTATAAGGTTGAATATTCATTGATTATATTCAGCAATAAAAGCTATTTTTATATGAGGTATAGATACTGCTTCTATCAATTAAATTAAAGATATTTTCTAAACGAACGATCTTTATTCAAACAGCAGAATACAAGATACAACAATTTAGATAGGGATCAATTACAAGTAGTTGGAGCCATTAAATAAGCACATCAGGAAAACAAAAAACATTCTACTTAAGAGAGGGATTATATACAACTCTATAAAAAGCGGCCTTATTGCTTAAAATAACTCTTAAGAGGATTGGTCAACTTACAACTCTATTCAAAGGAATGAAGCATTTTTCAAAGCCTAATTACATGATAAAGTAAATTAAAATGAACAAAGTAAAAGACAACTAACCTGGACGACAACCTCACTGATGTAGAGATACAGCACCGATCTGCAACAAGACAACCCCAGTCACAAATGATAAAACTAGTGACGGTGCTAAAATTCAAATAATTTTGAGGAACAAGCTTCCTTCACAGAAAAATATACAGATACAAGAAATCATCCAGTAAATTAGACAACAAGATAAAATATTTTTTGAAAAAAAAAATTTATCAACTTCTTGTTATACATGCAAGCTTGAAGTCAACCACAAATTTTCTATATTTAGGGAAAGCATGCAACAGGAGCTGCAGAGCAGAAACAATCATTAGAGATGATGAACAGATGTATACAAAGTAAACAAGAGGATGAACAAAGCAACACAAAAAAGAGGTGCACAAGAGAAGAAGATGAAGAAATCAGCCACCACAAATGTGCCACATCCCACTGGAAACTAAAAGTATGAAATTTGCATTTACTATACAATCCATTATTTTCTATTTATTGTATTTTACTCATTTTTATCATTTCACTTACTTTACTTTTGCTTGTAGGTGGAGGGGGAAGGGGTAATAGCATAATCAGGAATTTCGAATAGGCTAGAAAACTAATTAAAACAAGATTCGTACATATCCTTTAAGACAACATTTCCAATCAGTATTATTTGTTATGCTGATACCTACATTCTTGAGTAAAAATATAACGGCTTATCATCAAAGAATTGTAGAATTGCTTAAAAAAGGCAAAAGGGAAAAGGAAATAGAGTGTGACTTTGTCAGTTGTCATAAATATGTTTTTTAAGAAATTTTTAACAATTGAATGATGGTTTGAATAACGTACAAGCACATAAGAAGAAAGCATTTCTATCAGATGTAAGAGTTAGTCAAAGAAGCACTGAAGATGTCAGAGTTAGTCAAAGAAGAACTGAAGATGTCAGAGTTAGTCAAAGAAGCACTAAAGATGTAAGAACCAACCTATCATAGTGCTCCTTCAAAGTAAGCATGAGATTGAGCATCACAGCATCTCCAACCAAAGCATACATGACACCAAATCTGACAAACCATCGGAATTCCCGAACATACACTTTAATTTCTATGCCAGTCATGACAAACACTGAGAGCCAAGCCAGAGCTTCAATGATCAATGAGATCACCTGAAGTAGAAGAAGGAAATATGTGTTACTGATTCTGCAAAATGGAAGTGTTGAACTTGAATAATGCAAGTAGGGAAATATTGCAAGTCCTAAATCAATGGGAAAATTTTGTATATAGGTCATGAACACCTCTAAAGGAAAGGGAAAAGATGCTGAACTCATGTTCTAAAATTTTAGACAATATGAAGAGAACTGACCCTAAAAGCTGCAGACAGCAGAATTTTACGCTTGCATATATCACAGTAACAATGACTATAAATATCACAGTGACAAAGAGACTCATTGATGTTATCATATCAGCTGTTGCTAGTGTCCGAGATATATACAGACCTTTAACTCTCAGCAGTACAGACACCATAAATAGAGGTTTTAGGCAACTTTTTGGCAGCAATGAGAAAGAAAATATGATACCCTAAACATAAAAGTAAACAATATTCTGACCAGCTTATACATATTTAATCAAAGAGATTAAAAATAAGATTTGATCTTTTAAATCCATTTTCTACAAAGACTTAAGGTTTTAGTAGAGATTCCCTGTCTTCTTTTTAAATAAAGAAAATTGTACAAAGAAAGACCTCGAAGAAGAAAAATACAGAAAGGGAGGACTGATCTTTAATTATGAGGTAACGAAGGAAAGTTATGCACATATACACTTGACACAGACATTCAAGAGAGATCATGAAGTACATCTTCAACTGAGAGTCAAAGATATCTACTTTTATCTCACATAAAGAGTTTTGTCTCTAATAACGATACTGATGACATACAGAGAATACAGAGACTGAAAAAGCTATTTTTCGTGATGCATCTCAGTATACAAGGCTTGACTTTTCTATATTTTAATTATGTCAACAATTTCTTTTTTTCTCATTAACTGTTCCTATTAAGATATGAGATACTGAGTATCAAATCTTAGATATTTTTGGTCATCTTGGTTCGTTGTGAAAATAGAACAAACAAAGAATAAAGCTCTGCGTGCGACTCTTTTTTTTATTTTATTTTTAGTATAAAATGGATGACTAATAAAAGAACACACAGAAGTATAAACTAGGAAACAAAGAAAGCAAAAAATGTTAAAATTCAATGACACAGCACATAAGATAAGAACCCCATTGCAGTTCAACAAAAATCACTCTGTATGTTACATGCATCAGCTGAATAACAAACTTTAAGCATCAAATAGAAGGACATACTTCGTACGGCGCAAGACCAGCCTGCCCATCCAAATTAACCACTGAAATGCCCATAATTAACCTAAACAAAGGCTCAGCAGCAGAGTAACCAGCCAACAAAGCCAGGAAGTAATTGTAAAACTTGGACCTCAAACAAAACTTCTGAGCTTTCACATTATTCTGGATTACCCATATTCGATATAGACAAAGCCCCATCATAACTAAATGCGACACGCAAATCACAAGACTGTTTGTACCACAAGGTGTATAAGCTCCCAGTGCATTTTGCACTGCTGTTCCCCAGACACCATTCGCCACCGGTTGGCAATACCAATCCAATGGCTTGAAAGCCATCGCTAATCGCCTTTTTACCCTCAAATCAATCAGTATAAATTCCTGCCTACTTTTGCATCAACCTCAAATAAATCAATGATGAAATATAGAACGCATTTATTCCACTAAAACACCTGCCACAAAACCAAACCCCAATATAAATTCAGCTTGCTTTTACAACTCAACTAAAAAATTCTTCAACAATTCGAGCTAAAAACAACATAAAATCATCCTGCTAAAAACAATTATATAATTATCATTTAGTCAATTCGAAATCAAACCCTTATATATTTTAGCACAATTAAGAATCCCACAATAGTAATTAACTTGTTAAACAAATATATTAGATTAATTTCTACAGAACATTATTCCTTTCGACTTTCTCATAATCCAAACCCCCCAAAAACCCAATAAAAATAGGGATTAAAATTAAAATCATATAAAAAATGAGCATAATTACAATCAAATTAACAAGTACAAATTTTTTAAAAATTTGGTAAATGATTAAAAGCTTAAAGTCTTACTAAGTTGACCGTAAAATTGGTGACAGAAGATAGAGATTGATTGGCAATAACACACCATTAATATCCCAAATTAGTCAGATAAAATACGCGGAATAATCGTAAAACGAAGCACATTTTTAAGAGAGAAAGAGAGAGTGACCTTTTTTTTTCCTTGAGAACTCTTCTCATTGAGAAGCAAAACTCAAAAGATAGTGTGAAGGACCAAAATGTATGGAGAATAGTTAATTAATAAATAAAAGTACAAAAAGAGAGTAAAGGTGTACAATCAAACATTTATTAGGAGGTTTTTCCAAAGTGAGCCAATTTTGGCAAATATTAACCAAAATGGTTCCGTGGCAAAAGTATTTACCAAACTAAGCTTCCAGGCTAAAACGCTATCTCGGTCAGCGTTTTATGCCTGGGTTTTTTTTAAAAAAAAATCAACCTAAAAACGCTATCTGGGACAGCGTTTCTGTCGTTTTTTTTAAATTTTTGTAATTGCCTTTTATTTATAAAAATGTTTTTAAAACACAAAAACAGTTATACCAAAGACGCTGTCCCAGACAGCGTTTAACTCTGAAACTCTATAAACGTTGTCTCAGACAGCGTTTCATTAACCTTAAACGCTGTCTGAGACAGAGTTTCTGTCGTTTTTTTTCCTGCACCAGCGTATTTCATCCTTTCATTTCCTCGTCCTTCATTCTCAAACCCCTTCTTTCCCAAACTCTAACTTAATCCCCCTCTCTCTCATACTTGTGCTCCTCCGTATAGACCGCCGCCGGCGCCGCCACCTCCACCGTTGCCCGCCGTCACCTCCACCGTCGCCCTCCGTGTAGCCCACTATACACTCCCCTCACCCTGAAATAGGTATTCATTCAACTTTCTTTGTGTTTTAAATTCTAGGGTTTATGTTGGTGATTTCTAATTTTTTTGGAATTGGGTTAAAATGTTGATGAGGTTGAGTTGTTAGTGTTAAAAATGTTGAATTGTTAGTGTTGGTATTGTTGAATTATTAGTGTTGGTAATTGTTGAATTGTTAGTGTTGATAATGGTAGTGTTGATATTGTTAGTGTTGATAATAGTTTGGATAATGTTGAATTGTTGTTGTTGGTTTTGTTGAAAATTGTTGACAATGGTTGATAATTATTAGGTTTTGAACAGTTGTAATTACCTACATTGTTGTGTAATAATGGTGATTTAGGGGTTCTTAGTAGTTAATTTGTATAGTATGTAAAAAAATTTTGTTTGATTGTGGTGATTTAGGGATGATTTAACGGCTTTACGTAAAATGTGTTTTGGTTGTTATGTAGAATATGGCTGGACAAAATGTGGAGTTGTTATGTCGATGGGGAGGTGAAATTTTGTGTAATGGATCAAATGTGGAGTACAGTGGAGGGAATATGGACCTTATAACACTTGAACCGAACATGACTGTGACTGATCTGATGAATGAGGTTCACAGTTGTATTGGTTCAAACCCTATGACTGGTGAACTGAACCTTAAAATGAGGTGTGATACTGGTCATGGGGTGCAAGTGTTACATGTCTCTACGAACAGACATTTGAAAGGTTTGAGGAGCATGGTAGGAATGAAGGGTTTTCCCAATGAGATATATGTAGAAACAGTGCCTATATGTACCCAACAAAGTACTCAGGCAGAACAGCAAGCTACATATGTCTCTGATTACAACACCGCGTCCTTCCAAGAGCCCGCAAACCACATTCCATCGAATGCATATGGGATGGGTTCTTTCACTCGAATGATGCAGGACGACCAATTTCACTTGCCTTTTAGTTCTCATATAGCTTCACCAGTACATGCGGGGGGACGCGTGACAGTGTTCGTCCAGCCTGCTCCGTCGTCATCGAACACCGTGACATCTTCGCCGATGCAATTGCATAGCTACTCTCCTATGCAAGGTGATGATGGTTCACCGTTTCGAGAAGAGCCAAATCATTTTGATGATGTTGTGAATAATGAATTGTCGGTGTATGATGTGTATGCGGAAATGGATGATGAGGACGAGAACGAAGAGGGGGATGATGAACCTACACAGGTGGAAGATGGTCAGTCGTTGGTTAGAACTCCCATACCTTGGTTCAGTGAGGTAGCCGAGAACTATGAAGTTGATCAGTATTGGGCCGAATCGGGTAGCAACACCTCTTTTGTTCCCGGGGGAGAATTTGAGAAGGGAATGTATTTTGAGAGCAAGAAACTGCTTCAAGAAATGGTGAAGATGTATTCTATTCAGAGGAATCAATTCTACACCACAGTGACCTCGAATGATGGTGTCCTACATCCGCGATGCAAGAAGAAATGTGGTTGGATGCTACGGGGTACCAAATCGAGTGAGCACTCACGTGGTTTTACCATAGTCACGTACAAAGGCCCGCATCGGGAGACATGTGTCAGTGAAGTACTATCTAATGATCACCCACACTTGGATTCGTCCGTAATAGCCGAGTATGTGAAGTCCTTTGTGCGGAAAGATCCTTCGTTGAAAGTGGAATTCATACAGGAACTGATCTCGAAGCAATTTCATTTCGATGTCCCGTATCGACGAGCGTGGTATGCCAAGGAGAAAGCAATAGCTGAGATATTTGGGGATTGGGAGAGTTCATATGGCAGACTTCCTCACTTCATGCAAGCACTCCTACGGTCGAACCCGGGAACATGTGTCGTATGGAAACACAAAGCTTTAGTGGATGGTGTATACTACAGCAACATGGAAGTGTTTGAACGAGTGTTTTGGGCCTTCGGTCCTTGTATACATTGCTTTAAACATTGTATGTCTGTTATCTGTATCGATAGGACGCACTTGTACGGGAAGTATAAAGGAACACTGTTGGTTGCTACGAGTGTTGATGCAAGCTTCCAAGTATTTCCTATTGCATTTGCGGTGGTTGAAGGGGAAAACACTTCCAGCTGGTCTTGGTTCCTAGGTTGTATTCGAGATCGTGTCACGCAACGGGATGGCCTTTGTGTTATTTCTGATCGGCATCCTGGGATCATTGCAGCAATGAATGATCCCAATGTTGGATTCACCCAGCCCCGAGCGTATCACAGGTTTTGTGTCCGCCACATAGCCTCTAACTTGAAGACTCACGTGTGAAGTAACGACATGAGAGACATGTTCAAGGCCGCTGCGTACCAAAGGCAAGAAAGAAAACTTCAAGTTGATCTGTGTTTCATTGGTGAGGCATGTCTCAAGGCCATTGAGTACATTGCTCAAGTCTTGTTCCCTATGTGGTCTCTGTTTCACGACAGTGGTCGCAGGTATGGTATATGTACTACTAACTTCTCGGAGACATTCAACAATGTGCTGAAAGGAGCTCGGTTTCTACCGATTATGTCCCTTGTCAAGTTAACCTTCCACAGAGTTAACAAGTATTTCACTTTGAGAAGGGAGTCTTCTGAGGCTAGGTCTGATCAGGGACTTCTATACCCCCCAAAGGTCACTGCCATCCTTGAGAAGAACACCGCTAAAGCCAGATATCATAGAGTGGATGCCTATAACCGGCGATTGCATATTTACCAAGTGACAACAGAGAGGGCAGAGAGAGTTGGTAATAAAGGAGGCCACAAGCATACGGTGAACTGGCAGTTGAGAACGTGTACGTGCAACAAACCGAAGATATTCCACCTCCCATGTTCTCATGTGCTAGCAGTCTGTGCTACATACTCACTATCAGAACGGCCTTGGGTGGACCCTCTGTTGCAGTCGGCCGCCTACATGAACACCTATGCACCACAGCTCTGGCCGATCCCCTGCGAGACAACCTGGGCACAGTGGGCACAATACGTAGGCCCTAAACTCATTCCGGACGGCACAATGATACGTGAAAAGGTCGTCCAAAGTCGAAGCGCATACGCAATGAGATGGATGACAGCAACCGGCCCCCAACCAAATGCAGCCGTTGTCACCAGCAAGGTCACAACCGCACTACTTGTCCATCTAGACCAACATAGGACCTAAGTGTATATGTGTTATTTGATATAGTAGTATGTAGTGGTGTTATTTTAATGAAACAGTTATAATTTTCTACATTATGTGTTATTGTGTTCAATTCGATGAATTTTATTTTGTACGTTGGATGTTCGAGATTTCCTGTTTATGCCTTTCAATCGAAATTAGTATTCAATATATTGTGTTAGTGTTTGGTGTGTAACGTTTTCAATGAACAGATATCATGGACGTACAGGATAGGACACCCGGACCTGTTGACCCTTCTGTCCTGACACTACAGGACACCCATCGGAGCGTCGACGTATGGAACCTGACGGTAATGATTCATCTTTAACGTTTTTGGATTCTTTGATGCACTATCTTTTGTTACTTATAAATGCTCCTGTGTTTTCAGGGTGACGTAGCGAAGCCACTACAGTGCAGGCACTATAGGACCCCATGGGTTGTCCATGATCGTTGCCTTGAGTACGTGACGTACGCTAGCTTTGGCGGTGTACATCGCTTGGGATTCAGGAAGATTGACCGACACCTTGTCACGGCGTTAGTGGAGAGATGGAGGCAGGAGACGCACTCCTTCCACCTACCAGTTGGGGAGGCGACTGTGACATTGCGGGACGTGGCAATACTTACGCGCCTTCCAGTACAGGGGACTGCGGTGACGGGATCATTTCTAGTCGATCCCGTTGGATTGGTTGTGCGGGTTCTCGGGGTGCAGTCGGGTCCCAACGATGTTAGGGGCTCCGCCTTGAGGACGGTCTGGTTACGAGATACTTTCCAGGGCTTGCCTGCGGAGGCCGATGACGCCACAGTACAGAGATACGCTCGAGCGTACTTGTTCTTCCTCATATCCGGCGTGTTGTTCGGCAACAAGAGCGGGAGCCACTTGCAGCTTATTTACCTACAGTTGTTGGACCACGACTAGGAGCATATCCGTGGATACAACTGGGGTAGTGCCTCTTTGGCGGTGTTGTATCGCCAACTTTGCAGAGCCTCACGGAGTGGTGCGCTCGAGATTGGAGGACCTCTATTTGTGCTTCAGGTATACTACGTATATTATCACAAGCGAATTATGCAATGAGTAATGTCATATTTAACATAGTTTTGTGTTTTGCTATTGAAGCTATGGGCTTGGGAGCACATCCACGTAGGAAGACCAGGTAGGCCTGCTGTACATCGTCCGGGGCAGCAGGATTAGGATGACCAGTATGAGCCGTACATCGCTCCGCCTCGCCCTGCAGCTGATGAGGCTTACGGTTGCAGGTTTGTAACATGTGTCATTATTTTTCCCATATACGATTTCATTTTGTAAACATACTTACCAAATTTGTTGCCCCAGGTGGATGGTCCCCAGACTCACACAGGCACATACGGCGACGGGTCTCCCATACTACCGAGACGCCCTTGATCGACTCACTGAGGATCAGGTACAAACTCTGAAGACATTTGTAATCATTTAGGTACTGTGTATACTGATTGTGGACTAACTTATTTAGGATGTGTTATTGCAGATCACATGGGATCCGTATGTACCGGAGTTGGTAGATGTCATGCCTGCACATCTACTGGAGCATCAGGGAGAGTGGCGTGCCCGGGTCCCCCTGATCTGTTTTGAGGTTGTGGAGAGTCACCTACCTGACCGCGTCATGCGACAGTTCGGACTGCAGCAGCTTATTCCCCAGAACTGTGACACTGTCGTGCGCCTTCACGACATTGACCGTCGGGGAAAGACGGAGACAAACTGGGCACTGGAGCATTGGCAGTATCTTCAGCTATGGGAGCAGCGGTTGGGTCATGTCGTTCAGGGTTATCCCATGCAGGGCGTTATGGATCATGACGATCCGTACATGGTGTGATACAGGCTTATCACACGCCGTTTCATCAACCCCGGCTACACACCACCGTCCACCCATTACCACCCGGCACATGACGTCATTAGCGGATATGTGAGTTCCTTTTACTATACTTATCATCCTCATTTTTTAACTTTTTTAAATATCATGTACTTGACTGATCGATGATTACTACAGGCGGCGGATATGGTGGCGATGTATGATGCACTGTCCCTCGCCCTTACAGACGGACCCACCAGAGCCCAGGTCCAGCGGATGCGAGATATGTCCGCGACTTCCTTACGCAGACATGGTCACGGTCATCTCATCCAACAGCGGGACGGTGATGATGGTCACTCCATCCATTCGCGGTTCGACCCCGGCCAGAGTAGCAGTGGAGGTGATCCTACGTCGCACATAGAGGCAGAGGAGTACATCTTCCACAGTTCTGCACCCTTCAGAACCCAGGAGGACGCATCGTCCAACCAGCTCACTCCCCCCCCCCACGCCGGAACCCATTCACCATTACACTCGGCGTCGTCCAAGACGAAGGGACGACAGTGAGGCTAGGGAAGGGTTACACCAAATTGATGAGTAGTGAACGTATTGTATCATTGTTTTGTCCTTTTTCCTGGAATGTTGTATATAACGATTGCATTATCAATATAAGACATGCTGGTTGAATGAATCTGTTTGTGTTTTGAAGTTTTGTTTGCTTATTTATCCAAATCGGATTTATGTCAGTCAAAATAGATCCTTCAGGGCTAATGTACGTTAAACATTAGACATTTGGAATCCATAGTCGAAAATGGGGAAGAAAGGATGGCCCGTGGTGGTTAATGTGGTTGTTCATGGTGGTTTTAGTGTTGTTGGTTGTGGTGGGTGGTTATCGACGGTTGTTGAATGGTTGGGGTTGGTGGTGGAGCTGGTTGAAGTGTTGTTGGAGGTCAAAAGTGGTGGCAGATGGTGGTCGATGGTGGGGGTTGTTGGTGGATTGTGGTGGCAAGAATCATGGCAGGGGGTGGTGGGTGGGGGCAGAAGAAAGTGGCAGATCAGTGGCAAAAGGCTGATTCTGCTGCTGTTTTGCACACCAGCAGAGAAACGCTGTCCCATACAGCATTTTAGGTTGAAAATAAAACGCTGTCTAAGACAGCGTTTTAGGTACAAGGAAGTTTGTACATAAAGCGCTGTCTGGGACAGCGTCTTTGGTATAACTGTTTTTGTTTTTTAAAAACATTTTTATAAATAAAAGGCAATTACAAAAATTTAAAAATTACGACAGCGCTTTAGCCTGGAAGCTTAGTTTGGTAAATACTTTTGCCACGGAACCATTTTGGTTAATATTTGCCAAAATTGGCTCACTTTGGAAAAACGTCCCATTTATTAGATAGTGTAATATCCTACTACTAGAGTGGGCTTGGAATGAATTGGTCAATCATTTGTTTGAGTTGTTGGTGTTAGAGAGGCCTGCGTCACCGCTTACGAATCTTTTACTTTGTGTTTAGATAGACGAACGCTTTATAGGGATGTCAATTTGGGTTAATGGTTCGGTCTTAGATTGGGTTTATCAGTTTTTTTGGATTATGATGGATTGGATTGGGTCATTATCGCATCAGATTGGACAAATAATGGGGAGGAATGGGTTGAGTCAATCGTGTAAAGCCCCACAAATTTGTGGTTGAGGTCGTGCTCAGCCAACAATGGTTGAGGCCATGCCCACCAATGAACATTTACTAGAAAACAATGGATAATTTAGAAAATAACACCAAAAAAAAAACAACTTTTATTATAACACAACGAAAAAAACTTACAAATTTGATTTCACCACCACTTAACGGATTCCATCCATGAATCCGTTAGTGGGGCCATATGTGACACGTGTCAATAGCTTATTAGCCTAAAAATTAAGTTAATTAAAAAGAAAATAAAATAAATTAAAATAACCCTAAACCAGACAGCCCCACCATCGGTGCAACCTACCCAGCCACCGAGAACATAGCTCAAGTCGCCGGCACACCCTGCCCCCACCAAAACCAGCGACTCCAACCCTTCCCCCTTTTAACCCCTTCAAACCACCACGAAAACTAGGGTTGTACACAGTTTAGTCTGGACCGTAACCAAACCTGACCAAACCGCATTTTAATGGTTTGGTTTGGTTTACGGTTTGGTTTCGATTTTTGGGAAGTACGGTTAGCGGTTTGGTTTGGTTTTTTCAAAAATTATAAATCAAACCAAACCGTAAACCAGTAAACCGCATTTTAATATTTATATAATTTCTAAATAAATTAAAATAGTTATTATATATTATTAAAAAAAATAAATAAAAAAAATGAAAAATTATTAGAAGACTATACAGTCAGTATACTACTATACTCTATACTCATTCTCAAATAGTTATTATATATTATGTATAATTTTTAATATGTGTTATTGTGTTAGCACTTAGCACTTGATTAGTTGGTTGTTATTTTGATTAAAACTTTGTAGTATAATTTAATCCCTTTGGCCTAATTATTTGAACTTATTATAAATTTATTAATATTAGACAATTTTTAGGAAAAAATGTCGTCTCATCATAAACCGCAAACCAAACCGTAATTTCAATACTAATATGGTTTGGTTTGGTTTGGAAAATTGACCAAACCGTATTTTGCGGTTTGGTTTGGTTTGGACTCAAACCGCACCAAACCAGACCATGTTCACCCCTAACGAAAACCACCCAATTGATTTGAAATTAGGATAACTTTGTGCAACGCCGGAGTTAGCATGAAAACAACGGAAATCGAATCCGATTTGCTTTCGGGTACGACGGTTTCGTTCGAATTGCTTGGCATTGGCGTTGTTTGGAACACCCTAATTTGAAACTCAAAATAGGTAAATGAAAGTCAAACACACTCGGGGTTTGACTTTTCTTAACTTTCTCTCCTCCTTGACGGTTTCTATGGCGGTTTGCTGAAGTCGGTTTTCTTACTCAACTTGGTTTTTATGCCTCGCCAAAAAAAGTAAGCAACGCCTCTTCCTTAAACCCCATCATTTGGATCTTTAGCTCCTTTAGATCTTGACATATTGAAGAACTTGAATGTGACTATGAACCCTAATTCGATTCCTGAAGTTGAGGATGAACTCGAGTCGGTTACTCCACATGTTCATCTTGTTCATCCCTCAGCTGGGAAGATTACTCGAGCTGATTTGAAGGCTCTTGAACATCATCATCAACTTTCCCAGAACCAATTGCAGCAAAAATCCAATGAAACAGTAACTAGGGTTTCCCTGGTTACTGTTCAATTGGTTAATTCGATAGTTAGTCAGTCTAATGGTGTTGTTCTTATTGTTCCTGAGTCTGAGGACCCCCTTGAACAAACTGAATCAACCAAACTAGCTAGCAATTTAGATAATTGGGTAATCTGTTTCGAGGCAAGCTGACTACAAAAGGGGTTGCTCTATCTTTTGTTGCTTCAGTGCTTAAGAGTGATAAACCTATAGCTCAACTTCAAGCTTCATAAATTGAGGCATGTAATTCTAAATGGTGTAATGTAGTTTATTTTATGTGGTGGGTTTCTATCCCACAATTGTTGTTGTTCACAAATTTATTGCCCAAAAATTAGGTAATTTTGTTAAGCCTTAGATTTTATGGCATGATGATGGTTATTTCATTATCAATTTGTTCTAGTGATGATAAAAATGACGTGCTTAGTTCTGGCCCTCATACGTTTAATAACAAACCTGCTATAGTTAAGCCATGGAGTGATAAGTTCAATTTTTAAGCTGAAATACTTAGAACTGTGCCTCTATGGGTTAAACTCCCTAATCTACCTCTTAATTACTGGGGGCTGATACCTTGAGTGGAATTGGGAGTACTCTTAGTGTGCCTTTGTATGCTGATGAGTGCACCTCTAGACAACTCAGGGTTCTTTTGCTAGGATGCTGATAGAGGTTGATATTACTAAGCCTTTACCTAGCTATGTGATTATTGAGAGCCTTATAGGTGAAGTTCTTGATTTGACAGTCCATTTTGAATGGTCTCCTCCCTTTTGTAAAAAATGTGATAAAGTTAGGCTTGATTGTAATGCTCCTAAGCTAAAGGTTGTTTCTAAACCTAAGGCAAAACAGGATGATCAAAAAGTTTAGCCTAAACAGAAGAAAGTTTGGGTTCAAAAGCAGTATGTTCCCGTGACTACAACTGCTACCTCTTATGCTCCAGTTCCTGCAACTATTACTGACCAAGGACATGATAAGTAGCAGGATCCTACCACTGAGCCCCTGATTACTTTTGCTCATACATCTTTTGTTGCCTACTCTGATTTTGATTAGAGAGTGGTAAGTAAAAGATCTAAGCCTCTTTTGGCTAGTGGACAGCTGGATATCCCTAGCACTATTAATACTTACTATGCTCTTCTAGAGAACGAGATTGCTAAAATAGTTCATATTGGGGGTGATGGTAATCCCCCTCAGGGGGGATGATTATTCTTTCATGGAATATTAGGGGTCTTAATGACCCTCGTAAGGTAACTTCAGTTAAGAAGTTACTTTATGACCAATCTGTGGATGTGATTGGTCTCTTGGAAACTAAAGTGAAATGAGAAGTAGTGTTAAATTGCAGAAAAATTTGGTCCTTCCTGGTCTTGGTATTGTAATTACTCTAATTCTCATAGAGGTAGAATTTGGGTTGGCTGGCTGCAGGACAAAGTGACTCTGAATATTCTCTCTTCTCATGAACAGTTTGTTCATACTGGAATATGTATTAAAGAATTGCAAATCATATTTTGTGTTCTTTTGTGTATGACTTGCACTCTATTCATGATAGAGTCCCTATCTGGACTGATATTGATAATCTGAATGTGGCTTCTTCTCCTTGGCTTCTTATTGGTGATTTTAATTCTATTCTTAATGATGGGGATAGGATTAATGGTAACCCTATTACTGATTATGAAATTAGACATTTCAAGGAGTTTGTTGTGACTTTTAATCTTTGTAAAATCAAGAGTAAGGGTTGTTTTACTCTTGGTTCAATAAAGGCCATGGTGATTATAGAACTGTTAAAAGAATAGACAGGGGTTTAGTGAATCCAGCTTGGCTAAATGCTTATAGCTCTATTGAAGCTGTATACCTTCCTCCTCCCTTATCTAATCATTGTCCTATTCTTGTTGAAGTTTGCAAGCATTCTCCTGGGAGAAGTATGCAGGAGTTTATAGGTACGAATGCGGAAAACAAGAATCATATTCATATAACACCTAATCCCAAGATCATGCATAACACTAAAGAATTAGAATTAATACCTTTGTAGCGTGATTCCACGTGTGATTGAACAAGAACAAGGGTGTAGACACCCATTTGTGTCTCCCCAAAACCAAACCCAGTGATGAGTACCTTTCACGTCGAATCATAATCGAATGAAGTGAAAGTGTGGAAAGTTTAGTGTTGCGGATAGTTTTAATTTCTTTTCTTTTCTCTCTGTTTTTGAAAACCTATTTTAAGAA